GAAGTGGGTTCAGTATTGCCACCACCACCACCAGGGCTTGTTGCTGCTGCTGCAGCGCAGCAAAGTGGACGTGCTTGGCCTCAGCCAACAATGATACCGCAGAGTGCACCTTCAATGGTAAGCGGTGCTGTTCAATTTGTCATTAATACAGTATGCTGTCACATTTAATGTAAAATAATAACAATTCCACTCTCCTACAACACTTACAATTAAGTCTTTCTATAATCTTACAAATTTTTAAATTTCGAATAAATAATTTTTGCTTTAACACAAATAAAGCTATTTTATATAATTCAAATTTTAATCTAAAATTTAAATAAAAAAAGATTGAAAGAGAAAGGAAGAAGAAGATGAATAAGCCAAAAAAATAAGAATGTTAATTAATTTAATGAAGGAATATTTTAATTATAATTCAATTAATTAATAATATCAATTAATCAGTCAGCAAAAACAAAAATGATGAATTGAAATTTTGTTCCAATGTTACAATATTTTTCATTTCCTTTTTCTCCTCTTCTTTTCCTCTCCCGTATCCACTATACTATTATCTTCTTCTAACTTCTTTCTTTTTGCCCATTTTATCGGTCTTCTTAAATTTCATTTTTCAATAAAATGATGACAGCTTGAAGAAAACCCTAAAAGAAAAAGAAAGAAAGAAAAGTAAAAAATGTTTTAATTAACAAAACAAAAGCTTTTCATTTCTTTTTTTCCCCGAAATTATTTTCATTGAATCATTTCATACTTTAAATTTCGTTTTTTATTTTTAAAATTATATTATTAAATTATAAACAAATGATTGACCTTAGACGATGAAATTTATTAGTTCCACTAAAATGTATGTTCCATTTTTGTTTTCCTTTCTCCTCCGCTTTATCTAAAAAAAAGAATTATGCAATCATTTTTATCAAAATTATCCATTTCAGTTTACCTTTTATCGATCAATCTATGAATTTGAAATTTAGACAAAAAAAACATCCAATTTATTTGATAATTTCCGCAATCAAAGAATTGCTGCTATGATGAAACATATATTCACATTATATCATCGATCATTTAATATCACAATTATGAAATTTCATCAGTTTTGAATGCTAAAATCTTTTAGCATAATTTTTTGCAATTAAAAAAATTAATATTTGAATTTAATAATTTCACTGAAAATATTATATTCCAAAATGTTTACAAAATGAAATGGTTTTTCAAAAAAAAAGCATTTTATTTATTATATTTATTTTTTGATGAAACAAATTATTTATTATATTCATCCATTTCAGATAGTTTAAAACAAAAATTTCATTTAAAAAAAAAAGAGCTTTTATTATTATGCAAGCTGAAATCATTCAAATGCAAGTGCACGCATCTGCATCTTGCAAATTTATTTATCAATCATTGATAGTTTAAATGTTTTAATAGAATTTAAAAAATTAAATTTTGGTATAATTTTAGGAAAATTATTTTTGAGAAATTCTTTTGCTATTTGAATTCAAGCATTATTCAAATTCATCATATAATTCAAATATTTGCATTTAAATAAATCATTGAAATTCACATTTTCGTAAACAACCTTTTTTATTATCATTTTTCAATCAATGATTTCCATTTGATAAGTATCATTCCGAAATTATTCAATTAGCTTAAAGTACTATACGATGGCTAAAGTTTTCTTTTTTTTTTAAAACAAGTTCGATTATTCTAGATTAAATTAAAATTAAATTCAACTTTACAATATCATATGATATTATCATATATCAATCGATTTTTTTTTTTAGGAATAAGAAAATTCCCTCTATTATTTTAGGATAAATTAATATATCAACTTATTACCGTATCATATATCAATCGATTTTTTTAGGAATAAGAAAATTCCCTCTATTATTTTTGGATAAATTAATTTACCAACTTATTATTATACGATGGCTGAAGTTTTCTTTTTGTTTTTAAACAAATTCAATTATGCTAAATTAAATTAAATTCAACTTTACAATTTTACTACATTTGATGCAAGATAATTTCCATATATAAATATGAATCTGTCAGCTATTTGGTTTCGTTTCTTTTGTTCAAAAAAAAAGAGTTGCCCATTATCTTTTGCAGTTAACAGTTGGAAAAGTTTCATCAATAAAATTTGCATTTATTTTCCCTAAGGATTTAATAATACAAATGAGAAGTGTAAATAACCAAATATTTTTTGTTGAAAAAAATTATTCCTGAAAATCAATAAATTACAATAATATTAAAATAAGTGACATACTCAAATGATGAACGATTATTGGTTATGAAAATTAATCAAAAATTTTTTAAAGAAAAACTTTCAAATTTATTATTATATGCTTATTATCATATATCAATCAGTTTTTTTTAGGAATAAGAAAATCCATCTATTATTTTAGGATAAATCAATTTATCAACTTATTACCATATACTATTATCATATATCAATCGATTTTTTTTAGGAATAAGAAAATCCATCTATTATTTTAGGATAAATCAATTTATCAACTTATTACCGTATACTATTATCATATATCAATCGATTTTTTTTAGGAATAAGAAAAGCTCGCTATTATTTTAGGGTAAATCAATTTATCAACTTATTACCGTATACTATTGTCATATATCAATCGATTTTTTTTTAGGAATAAGAAAATCCCTCTATTATCTCAATTTAGAACAAATTTAGGATAAATTAATTTTATGGTAAAAAAATAATGATAATAATCGAGAAGATAACAACTATCCCTGAAATATACGATTATATATATGAAGGAAAGAAAAGTCTCGTTTGACGTAAATTTGCAGTAAGTTGAAATTTCAATCTTAATTCATGCTTTAAATTAACTATTTAATATAATGCTTTGCTTTTTTCATTCATCATTTTCCTCAAAATATTTTCGCATCAATGATTTTGAGAAAAATTATAATGGAAAGAATTTTAAATGCAAATATTGCAAAAATTTCTTTTAATAAATCGCTTAAAATATTAGTATTATATATTTTTTTTGCAATTTACCTGATAAAATATATCAAATATTTTATTAATTTTAATAGAATTATTAATCATTTGAATGATTTGTTTGCTTTCGTCCATTTATAGCACTGATAAAATTTATCGTAATTTTGCAACAGCTTAAACTATTTTACCGTATTGCTGTATACATATATTCTCGTTCATTTATAGCACTTATAAAATTTATCGTAATTTTGCAACAGCTTAAACTATTTTACCGTATTGCTGTATACATATATTCTCGTTCATTTATAGCACTTATAAAATTTATCGTAATTTTGCAACAGCTTAAACTATTTTACTGTATTACTGTATACATATATTCTCATTCATTTATAGCACTTATAAAATTTATCGTAATTTTGTAACAGCTTGAACTATTTTACCGTATATATATATTCAAAGCAAAATAACTAAAAAACAATTTATTTATGAAATGCAGAGATTTGACAGTAAAGGAAAAAAAAGAGTTAGAAAATAAATAAATAAATAAATTGATCAAATAGGCAAATATGGTATATCGCTGACTAGAAATGTAATTCAATGGTTCAAGAAGTACTACGGCTATATAAACTAGTGAGCGAATAAGCGTAAGATGCATACAGCGTAATTGATCGATGAAATTCATTCAATTTTAAATTTCAAACGATGATGATGATGACGATGATGACGATGATGATGAGGTAAAAGGAATACATTTTATCTTACAGACGAAGGCCTACCGTAAACATCGAAATAGCGTAAATGGCGTACGTAAGATTTATAATTGGATAACAGTTTATAAATAATTAAGAGAAAAGGAAATCAAATAGTGTAATAATGAGAACGAATCAAAAAGCTGTATTTAAAGATCAAAAAAAAAAGGGATGCAACTTTAATCTTACCTTTCATCTTTGTTTTAGCCATAATACAATAGTTTGAATTAATAAACCAGCATCAATTATTAATTTAATAATTAAAATTACTGCATAGAAATGAAATTTAATTGGTCTTATTCAATCGGAAAGAAAAATCGATGATTTTATATTTGAAATGGTTTTAGTTATGAACAGATATGATAAGCCTTTTTCTATCCTAAACTATTTTTTCATGGTACGCCATTTTGAAGTTGTTAAAAGATGATCTATAATTTTGAAATTAACATTAAATGGAACAAGAGCATTTATGCAACCAACAACAGGAATTTTTCTTTTAAAACAAAAGAAAACGAAGTAGGAATCAAATTGATAGAGAAACTTATGGCTAAGCTTAAAAGATTTATCATTAAAAATGCTTTATTATCTAAAATTAATATGAAAATTATTGTTGTTATTAATATTATCATTATATCTATTCTTATCTATATTCTTACTTCTTACTAATATATATCATACTAATATTATTATTATTATTATTTTATTATTATTATTATTATTATTATTATCATTACTGTTACTATTACTATTATTATTATTATTATTATTATTATTATTATTATTATTATTATTATTATTATTATTATTATTATTATTATCATCATCATCATTATAATAATAGCAATAATAATTATTATTACTGATATTAAAATCATTACGATGACTGTAATTAAAATCACGAGAATGGAATGATGACTAGAGCGAGCCGAAAGACAAAATAGGAGGAAAAATTTTAGTAAAAGCTAAAAAAAAAAATGGATCTCCTATCATTATTATTCAATGGGATGGGCGTTGAAGTGTTGAAATTTGCAGAAAGGTCGGCTCATGATAATAATAAATTATATCATTTTCTTTTCCTAAGCTTTTTATGAAAAAAGCTTTTTGGAAATAATTATTTTTTAAAACCAAAAAAAGAAAATGAAATAAAATATTATTATAATTATTATTAATATTAACAAATATAACTATTACAATTATTATTATATTGTAAAATATAATTTTAGCAAATAAAACCAACATGCAAATTTTATTAACAATTCAAAATTACTTTCATAAATTTAGGAAACTATTTGCCAAGAAAATTCACTACAAAATATTGGGGAATGTAATTGTACTAACTAAACATAAAGTAATCATCATACAATTTAGCAATAAGAACTTTTTCAAGAAGGAAAAAGGAGCATTTTCGTATTCTATCATTTTAATAAATCAATATCCGATATTTATTCAGAAAAATTCGGAAATTTCCTTTCTTTCTTTTTTTTTTCCACAAAAAAGATAAACTAATTTGATATTACGGTATAGTAATGAACATTTTTCCCAAAAAAGTTGCAACATAATTTCAATTATTTTTAATGATTTACAAATAAATTTGATACAATGTAAATGCAAAATGAAAAAAATTACCAAATCATTGGAAGATACGATGATAAAATATTTTAATAGAATGGGAAATATATGCATTTATGACTGTAAAATTTGAAGATTTATAGTCATTAAATGAATAATGAAATCTGTACCTAAGTTTTTATTTTCACAATTGTTCAAAAACAGGTGGAGGTGGTATAGGACCAAGAACTGTTTCACTATTTGTGTTAGAATTAAGTACCACTTCTTGTTGTTGCTCTGATTGATGTTGTTGCTCTTGCTGTCGTCCTTGTGGTTGTTGTATTAGTTGCTGTTGTTGTTGTTGTTGTTGTTGTTGTTGTTGTTGTTGCTGTTGCTGTTGTTGTTCTTCCTCTTGCCTACTACGATCATGACCACGACGGCGAGCATTCATGAAAAAATTCGCAACCGTTGTAGGATCCAATTGTAGTTGTTGTGATATTGTTAGTTGCATTTCTCGTGATGGCCGTTTGGTTTCCTTGAATATTGCCTGTAAAAAATTTTTTTATGTGAATTATTTTAGCTACGTCAGTTTTGAAATTTCATAACAGCGTGCGGTTAAATTTTAAATTTCGAAGATTTTCGGCAAAAAGCCGTTTAGCCATTTTGTTAGTTTGGGATAAATTGTTAGATATGCAAATTTTAATACATTAATATCTCATGAACTGTATGAATTATAAAAGATATAATTTAAAATATGGTGCAAAGGCGTTATAATGCCGTGAAAATGTGTGGTAATTGAGATGTGAATTGTTGTAGAGAAAGTAACGGAATATTATTTATTCTTTTCCATATCAGAAGTAAAAAATTTGAAGTTATTGCCAGATGTCCTTTCCTAGTTCAATATGATCTCTCTTTCTCAAAAAAAATAATAAAAAATTAGGATGGAAGTTTTTGCCCGAGTAAGGAAGGATGTATCCTAAGCCAGAATGCCAGAGCAAGGCTAACATACCACCTTCCTGCTTGTAATGTATCCGGAGGACTGGTGCTGTGATGACTTTTCCTTCTTCGCTACTGATAACTGACAACTGATTGCTTCCGAGAAACGAAGAAGGAAGCGGATACGCACGTAACTGATTAATTATTGAAATATTGATAGAAATAATGGAAAGAGTGGAGGGTATTGAATTTGGAGTAAACTTCAAGTACAGAAAATTAAATTCTAATTGTGTGGCAATACGAACGAACAGTACGTGCTTTTTTTTCACTTTAACTTGAATGAACACAAAAATTTTAAAGTGATTGAGGTTAGACTCTGGTCAGGTTTTATGAAAATTTTAGATTAAAATAAATAAACATAAGCAAACAAATAAGTAAATATAAATAAATAAATATATATATAAATAAACATAAACAAACAAACAAGTAAATATAAATAAATAAATGCATGTATATATACATATAGAAAATGCTATCTTCAATATATATTATTTAATATAATTCAAATTCAAAAACTTTTGCTGAAACTTATAATTTTCATAAATATCATCTGTTTAATTTATTAATTAAATAGTCCATAGGATGAAATAAAAAGAAAATTTCTTTTTCTTTTTGGTTTTTTTTTCTTTTTCAAATATCAATTAGCACCTGCAACTGGCCCACCTGCAATGTACGTCTCTGGATATCGGTGAACACTAAGCGTGGTTTTTTCGGTGTTGCTGGTTGTGAAGAACCGTTAATTTGTTGTTCATCTTTCCGTTTACATGCTAAATTAAATCAATTACATTGTTAATTAATTCTATTAAAAACAAACAAGCAATTAAACAAACAATTGCGAAGCAACAGCTGAATTTTTAAAATTCAAACAATTTGACGATAACTTCGATTTTCCTTCAAAAATAAGACAGAAAAAGAAAGAGAGAGAGAGAGAGAGAAAAAGACACATACATATTTTATATATATCAATCCCTTCGAATCACAGTCATTTAATTTTAGAAATGTCCGATATATCATAATTAATAGTTTAGGCAAACATTAAAAGCACCCGCGCACAACAATTGATAGCTCTTTCTTACAAACAAATTTTACAGTAATGCTCATTAATTCGTAGTCGGAAGCTTGACCTTTCGGTATGGATAATTGGCACGATACATAGGTCTCAATCACGACATCATTACGAATGATTTTAAGACAAGACCAGTTTAGATTGAGAAAGTTCTCATTTCTTTTTTTGGCTACAATAATATTCTCGTTGTCATATATTACATATGACCTCTAAAATCATAAATCTATATCGGATCAAATATATGAAAATGATACTATTCCGTCTATTAGCTTCGATACTGCTTGAAATTTCAAAAAAATAAAATGATGTGAAATTTAAATGCGATGAAATTTACATAATATAACTTTTAATGTAAGATTTTAATTAAGAGTTTCAAGTTAAAGTAATAAAACTTTATGATAAAAGTTAACACATATAAACAATTCCCGATGAAATTAATCCTAACGTATTGTCAAGGAAATTTTCAACTTAAAATGTTGTAGAAATTTAAATAAACAAAGGAAGAAAAAAAAACAAAAGAGTTACTAATAAAAAGTAAACTTCGATCAATGCTACTATCTTTTACCTCAAAAATTCATATTGATATTGGAATTTCATAAACTAAAATATATCAAAATATATAAGATCCTTTTTTGCTTTTCAAAAATTTTCCATTCTTCCATTTCAAAATAATCGTAGGTAAAGTTAGTTAGGAATTAAATTTTTTATGAATCATTGAAAAATAGGCTTGAAATGATGTAAAAATGGACATCTGGAACGGATAATGCATTATTAATGAATGTTAGATATGTATGTATATATATATGTGTGTGTGTGTGTGTATGTTTATGTATGTTATACGGTCTACACAATTGTTCATGTCATACGGGATAGGTGGCGAATGGAGTATGGTATATGTAAGAATCTACCGATGACCTCGATCTAATTACTATTTGGTCTAATTACTGTAATATTAGCAACATCATCATCTGTACAGATTTGAACAATACAACGATTCATGAAAATATATTAAAATAATAATTATATAGTAAAAATTCGATGATTATATTTTATAAGAAAAAGAAGAAATTATTCATAAAATTTTTTCATATCTTTTTCATCCTATTTTTTTTTCTCATTTATTATATTTGTCACAAACAAGATTTTAAATTTGTTTATCTTTTTAAATAGAAATTTTCACAACTCATTAATATCATTAATATTATTATCTGAAATCAAAAGGAGACAGCTGAAAGTTAATAGTTGAAGTTAATAATATTTAAAGAGAAATGGATCGAAGCTCATACTCCTAATGAAAGCAATATTAAACAGACACATTAAATTAGTCAAAGTGTCACCTTAAAAATGTGAAAAGAAAAATATGAGAAAATGCTCAAGAATGATACTACTTACTGCTTGTATCATTGATAATGATGATGCTGATAATTTTCATTTACCGTATCTTCTATGATACTATTTGCTAATCTTATTTGTATGTGTAAATTATCGAACAAATAAATCATCATCAAAAACTATCTTTAGATCATTAAGAGAAAATCTTAAATATTTTTAACAAAAAAGTATTTGTTTTTTTTATGTGTACTTAATAGAATTTAATTACCAAATATAATTATAGCATAATTAAACCTTTTTAATTACTCGAAGTGCTGCATTTAGGTTGTTCTATTAAAACAAAATCCAAACCAAAAATAAATAAATTTCCTATAATATTACAATGGAGCTAATTTATGGATAATTTGTAATCGATTGATAATTATCAGTTATTGTATCAGAAATATCTTTTCAAACGGATCAGTTTTTCTTTCTTTTATTATCTAACAATAAAGAATTGATAAATGTTGTTATTTTATAGTATATTTTATAAACAAGCATAAAATTAATTCTTTGTAAAAAATTTAAGCTAACAAGAAAGGAAAAATGGGTGAAGGAGAAGGAAAATAGAGGAAAAAAAGGAGGTAAAGGATGAAGATAAACAAAAAGGTGGACGAAGGTCAAAAAACAAATAAACCGCTGAGGTAAGTGGAATCCCGCAGATAAAAGGATTGAATGAAAAACCACCATCTGTGGATACAGTAGCAGCTGCAGCTCGGTCATTAATTTAAACTCATGTCACCCTTTCCATCCGGTCTTATATTCATTCATTCATTCATTCATATATCCTTCTAGCTGTAACACACGCAATGGTCATCATTATCCTTACCATCAAGGACATATGTCATTCACACAACATTTATTCATTCTTGTCCCATTATTATATGAATCAGTTCAATTTGTGATTTTCATGTTGATTTAAAAAAAAGTTTTATCTTATTAAAATTTCTCATCTCTTCTTTTACCTTTCTTCTTTCATCTTTTCTATTTTTCATTTCATTTCTCCCTCTCCCCTCCCCCTCTCAAAAAAAAGGTAATTAAAAATTTATTACCGAAATATAAGAAATAACTGATTCCTGCAAAAAATTTCCCAAACATTCAAATAGCAAGGTTTGTGGTTAAAAAAAAAGTTAATAATAACAATTATATTAATTATTTTAATTTCATATTATTATTTGAATTATGACAATATCATATCAATGAATATATTACAAAATAACTCTTTCAATATTATATATTAATCGAATTCTAAAATAAAAGATTACCAGCCAAACGTAAAGCAGACATTCGTTGAAATTCCGGTTCTTGTAACCATTTTGCCATACGTCTAAATGTTTCACGACCACTCTTAAGCTTTGACCATGGTTTTGGATTCCTCAGTAAATCCGAAAGCGTTCCCTGTGACCTAAAGGATAATAGTTATTTGATATATAAAATTATCCAAGCTTAGTTTTTTAAACAACTTCTTTCAATACTTAATAAATGAATACTTCCAGAAGAGCATGAAAGAAAAATTGTAAGAATGCTAAGAGGATGAAAAGAAAGAAATGCATGTAGAAATTTTCACAAATCATAACACTCTTCTTTTTTCTCGTGTGGTACCTGTCTGAGAAGTTACAAACTGTTCAAAATTGCAAGCCAAAAATGATTAGTAGCGTAGAAAAAGGATAATATGACAAATATTCGATGAAGTCCAAGAAGGAAGAGAAGATTCTGAATGAAAGATACAGATGGCGCATTATTTGGCTTTTCGTGTGTTATTCTTGAATGCCTTGATGATTTTTTCGTTGTAGAAGTCCTTTGTTTTTTCGCCAAAATGAAGTGCTATGAATGAATGTGATTCTAATTAAGAGGAAAGGCTATGTCTCTTATATGGCCTGAACTTCTCTATATTGAGACTAATTAATAGGCATGTTAAAATCGGAAAAATAATAAAAAGCAGGTTATATTCTGGAAAGAAAAGCGTGCAAATATGGCTAAACAAATTAGTCACATCTATATTTCACAAATATCGCTAGCATTCGAATTAAAAGGAATGGTTTGACTGACGGATGCTAGCATTGTGTAAAATTTTTATCATGAGTTCCATCGTATCATATATCCATATTCGATGTCAAATATCGCCATCATTTGGAAGATGCATTGTAATGAGTGACATGAAAATCGTTGATGGTATATTCCTGATGACTTCATTAATGATAAGAAGCAAACTTCGGAAGAAAAATGATTTGATGAGAAACCTGCATAAGACACGCTGTGCAAAGATTGCTTGTGGAATTGAATATCGTTTAAGTTCAGCGGAAATTTTTTGTGCAAGATCCTTTGTATTTAGCTCATCCATATCGCTACCAGAATCCGGTGATTCGGCATGTGATATTGCATCAGTTTGTAATGGTGAGGAACCATTCTAGAATTTTATCAAAATAATAATTGAAGTAATATTCGAAATTTAATCCGATAAAAAAATGTGACCATTATCAGTCGAAAACGATTTATTATTGATCAAATTTATGCAAATTTATCGGGATATTGTTAATATAATTAATGCAAATTTATCGGATATTACTGGTACTCTTATCATAATACCAATAATATCAAGTTTGATAACTTGTCTAAGTTTGATAATCCTCTCAAAAGAGAAACATTTGACCCCTAATGACAAATATCATCCTTTTAACAAATTTAAATAATGCACCCAAAAAAAAGGAAACGAAAAAAAAGGAACCCTTTTGACGGTTTCCATTGTCTCTGTATCCAAGATATCGCTTGGACCATTAAAAGTATTGTATGAAGTTGAACTGATGAAATCCAGTTTTTCCTGTTTCGGTTCCAGGACACCACTATACGATGATGGTACATACGGTGATTGGGAAGGTGAAAATGGTTCAGTCAATTGATGGAGCTGTTGGTGTAAGGTAACGGGTGTTGTATATTCATTCCTACTATCATTGTTCGAATCGGCTGATTGACCGTCTTCCGTATCCGGTTCATTCTTCATATCATAAACATATTTGATGTTTACATTATATGCAAATGAACCGAAATTCAATGAACCTGGCATGGAACTTGTTGAAGTTTGTTGGAAAAACAGGCTACTACCAGAAGGAGCACCAGAGGCTGATTCACTTACCGCAGCACTTGCAGTGGAACGGTTAAATTTAACGGATGAATTAGTAACGGTTGAAATAGGCGGAAGTGGTTGAAGGCGTGTTAGCGTAGTATACTGGTTGAATGCTGTTGTTGTGCCAGCAGTTTGGCTATGAGGACTACTACGACCATGAGCTGAGTAACTATCATCATGGATATGATTCCGGTAGCTATCCGGTTGCGGAGGTGATGAAGTTGGTAACGTGGCCGATAGCAACGGATCCGAGCTATTGCTGGTCATCGGTCCGGATGATTCCAGTCCTTCCATTTGCCCAAAGTATACGATGCACTGAGATGCGGCCGCTTCGTTTCTGGGCTTTCAACGTAAAGCAAAAAGCTGTGCGACAGACACAGACATACGCACACACACACATGCACACACACACATACACACACAGACAGACAGATCCATAGAGAGGAGGGACATTAGAGGTGTGACACTTAAGGAAATCCTTAAACTCCACCCTGAAAGAGAGGGGCTTCTTACTTCGAATGATAGTTAGAAAAAGGGACAATCAGGGAGAGTTAGATAACCATAAGGGAGCAATGGATTAGGCTTTCATACTCTCTAGGCTGTAATATTCATGAGAGTTGGAAGAAGGAAGGAGGAGGGTGGAGGAGAGGACATTGTTGATCCAGAAAAGGAAAGCAGAAGGACCATTTATAGATGATGCCTAGCATGCTAGCTAACTGCAGCACTCTTAAATTGCTACTGTTGTCGCGTTTGCTTGCAGACTTGCCATCTATCCGTTATCCTTTCAACTTGAGCACGAAGCACAGCTTGCTACCGCTTTTGAACTCTCCCACATTGCATTAATCCATGCAATAGCAGCTGCAGCTGCTTTTCTTTGTTACTACTATTACTACTACTACTACCACTACCACTACCACTATCACTACCACTACTACTTCTATTGTTGCTGCTACTGCTTTTGCTGCTGTTGTTGTTGCTGCTGTTGTTGTTGCTATACAATTAATTTCTACAATTAGACAGTATCCAACTTGCAGAAATAATTACAATACCTAAAATTCATTTTTACTTTGATGAATTTAATAATCATTTATTGCACAAATCATTGTTGAATTCTTTGTATGATTATTTCCTTCATTTTTTCGATGAATTCTGGAGAATTTAATTAAAATTTTTAGTAATTTCATTCTCTTCTTTTTCATTATCTCTACGTTTGTCTATCTTTCCCTTCTTATTTAATTATATTTTACATAATATTTTCTCTTAATTTTAATATTAGTCTTCATACAAAAAAAAATATACATCAATTTAGCTATCAAAATAATTCCGATACTGTACAGTGAGTGATGTTGGAAGTTATACTTACTGTAGAGTGAGTGATTTTGGAAGTTATACTTACTGTACAGTGAGTGATATTGAAAGTCATACTTCCTATACAGTTAGTGATATTGGAAGATATTCAATTATGTGTATATTCCGATCATTGATATACTTACTGTATAGTGAGTGATATTGGAAGGTATTCAATTATATGTATATTCCGATCATCGATAATACTGCATAGTGAGTGTGATATTGGAAGGTGTTCAGTTATATGTATATTCCGATCATCGATACACTTACTGTATAGTGAGTGATATTGGAAGATATTCAATTATATGTATCATTTTATCTTTTTGCAAAAAGATAAAATAATTTTATGAATTTTTGATAAAAGAAAAGAAATCATGATACATTTCTTTCTCTTTCTAAAGATTTAAAAAAGAAAAAATATTTTTTATTACATATTTTATTTGATGAATATTAGGAGAGAGAGAGAGAGAGAGAGAGTTTATCATTCAGATACACATCTTATATTCTATACTATTTTATTTGAGCAAAAAATGAAAAATACCAAAAATTCAACAAAGAAGAAAAAGTGTAAAAGTAGAAATTCATTATTTGACAACATATAACAGATAAATCACCTTTTGTTTTTCATTAAAAAACAAAACTTAGTTAATTATTTTGTCTATACATTATTATCATAATCTTTAAAAAAGGTAATGAATGATTCAAATGTAAGGAAAAATGATATATTACGATATGAATGAATAAGGGAGAAGGTAAGAGAAAAGAATGATTTCGTAAAAATTACAATTTATGATTTAATTTAATTAATAAATGTAACAAATTAAATTAATAGAATTATAAAAGTTAGCAATAATAAAAGATATAATTTAATATCATTTAAAAAAACTCAAAATTTCGACCACAATTTAAATTTCACTTTAAAATAAATAATTTATTCAATTTGCTTAATATCAAAATATTGCTAATTTAAGATTTTTCGTTTTTTTTTCTTTAACCTTATCACCTTATCAGTTATCATATATGTGTAAAAATGTGATTTCTTTTTCTTGAATTTTAATTAAATGAATTAAATTTTTTTAAAATTAGCAAACATAAATATATATATATATAATCATTTAATCAAGCCTATTATTTGATGGCGTATACATATGCGCCTGAGCATGCCGTACCCTTTCTGCTATTTCCTTTTCTTCTTCACCCACAAACATCGTTTTCATATCATACTCATCATCATCTTCATAATAATAACCTATTGGCCTGGAAATAATAAATGAAAATATTAGCGAAAAGAAAAATAAATAAATAATTAGAATGATACTTTAATTATCAGATATCATCATTATCAGGAAATGGAATTAATTTATCCGTATGAGGAAAATTATCAGAAAGTTAACAAAGGGATAAAGCAAATAACAAATTATCTCTTGTTTTATAAATATTATGTGATCGAAATGTTTGTTATATTAGTTTAATTGCTAAATAATAATTGATATAATTTGAAAAGTTCAAATTTAATATAAAAAAAAGAGATCCTTATTTTTTCTAACTTATAATTTCCTATATGATTTTTCCTGTATACCAACCTTGGTTGTTCACTTGGAACCCGTCCATACAGAAAATTGGTATGAGTATTTTCTTCAACCGGACATTTTTCCGGTTCTGATGAATCTTCAACTCGATTAAATCGATATGATATCATCCAAATGATAATAACAATGATGACAAGAATTGTTACCATACCACCAATACCAGCTGTGATAAGAGCTACTTTTTGTGTCCGTGCTTGGAAGCGAACCTATTAAAATAATAATTTCATTCAAAATTAAAATTAGAAGAAAGAATTTAATGAATGGAAATTTTGATATGACAATAATGATTTCGAAAGTTTTTTTTTCAATGATAAGAAGTTCAAATAAATAGTAGATATGATTGAAGTGTTTTAGCTTCTGGTGAAAATTAACATTTTATCAAAAAATTAGAATAAAATCATTTAAAATTTCAATTTAACCTCGCAACGATCGCCTGAGAAATTCTCCTTACAAATGCATTCAACATAACCAATTGGATTCTTTTTACAAGTACCATCATTAAGGCAAAAATTATTACAAGCATCTAAAATATTCCTTTTATTTTATTTTATATTATACAACAGTATGATAATAAAAATCACTGATAAAGAGCTGAAAAGAAGAAGTGATAATAATAATAATTTAATTAAAAAATTTTTCAAAATTCAAAAAATCAATTTTTACATTATCCTTTATTGGATGAATATAATTTTTTCAAAAAATTTCTTCTCATTTTATTCATATTTCATGGATGAATACTATTTGTTAATTTATTTATTCTCATATTTGTAATATAATTAATATAATTAATATAATATTATCGGATAAAAATTAAAACTAAAATTATAAAGTAAACATATTAAATAAAGGATATGAAATTATTACCTTGGCAGTGTGTTCCATTTCCTTTATAACCAGGTTTACACTTACACTGATAAGATGGAATATCATTATCATCTGGTAAATCAATGCAAACTGCATGCCATGAACAGTTATCTTCGCCAGTAGCACATTGATTTGTTGAATAGCATTGACTTGCTTGTGTTGCACCTGAATTAAATATTAAATTAATGAATTTGAAATATTACCAATTGCATTTTATCATATTAAAGATCAAAAAAAAAAGAAAATTGAAATTTTAAAAAATATACTTTCAATAGCTTCTAAGGAATTCTAAAATATATAATTTAATTCTTGTATACAAGAAGTTAGTAATTTCTAATTTGCTTAAAATACCTTGTGTAGCAGTGGTATGATCAGGAGGACAATGCTTGCAAACAGTTTGAATTTCTTCATCCTGGAATGTTCCTCGAGGACAAAATTGACATTGTTTACTGAAATGAATAATATAATTATTGATCATGTAATTAAATATCAGAATGTAATTTGAAATTAATTTCTCTTTCAAGATTTATAAATATTCAGTATTTTTAGTTAGATTAAAAAAATATCATCTAATTAGTTCATTTTCGAATAGTTCTATCAGATTTCTTTTGTTTATTTATTCCTTCATTAATGTCGAATTAATTTTTTTAAAAATATTATTAAATAATTTATTACAAAAAATTAGCTTACGTAGTAGTAACAAGAAATTGTCCCGCAGAACATTTCGGTATATTACATTGCATACGACGAACAGATGAAGTTCCTTCGGTAGTGGTACCAGATGGACAATCAACACAACTTTTATGAATACCACGTGTACGATAGGTTCCTTGTGGACATGGTAGACAAACACCAACTTGTGTTAAATGTTCACCATCTAAAAATAATAGAAATTAAGCAGAAAAAAAAGGGAAAAATATTATCAAACTTTAATTTTATTTTTCAAAGAAAAGAGAGGACTTAAAATTTAATTAAAACTCGTAGAAAAAATCGGAAATCAAATTAAGGAAAGAGAGAGAGAGTGAGAGAGAGAGAGAGAAAAAGGAAGAATTAAATAAAGTAAATAAAATTCAAAAATATTTTATTATTTGTTCGTTATACAAATCTGTTTTAACAACATCGTAAAGTCAAAAAGTTGTCCTTTAGTTGGTTTACTTATTTGAAATTCAAAACAAAACTTTCGGATTCTTTTATTCTTCTGATGTTAAATTACAATTTTTAAAAATTTTAAAATATTTACCAGGACATTCATCACGACATTCATCTTCAGCTGTTGATGTCTCTTTTAGTGTTGTCTTTCCAACACCACAAGGGATACAATTGAAAGCACCCGATGTTGGCTGATAAAAACCAAATCCACATGGTTCACACGAACCACTGCTGATATTAAACATTGAACCAGCATCGCATGCATCTTCAAACTTATTTGTTAAAAATCCTCTTCTTTATACAACAAAGTTTTAAACAATTTCATTTATACTTATCATAAATAAATAAATAAATGAATAAATGAGTAAATAAATAAACAAATAAATAAATAAACAAATGATTGGTAAAAAAAATAAAAAACAAATTTCTTTATTTACTTATTTATCAATTTATTTACTATCACATCAATATAATAGATAATTATGCCATCGATTGTTTTTCTACTGCTATTTTTTTTTTTAAAAATCTCTTTCTTTCAAATGTGTTGCTGTTATTGTTATTAAAATAAAACAAAATAATTTAGGTAATAGTTTACTGATAATTTATATACTTTTGAATTAATAGCTATAATTAAAAATTTGTAAAAACAAAATGTTATATTTAAATTAATATAGAAATAAAAAGATCAATTTATTTCTTAATTCAAAATTTAAAGCCATACTTTTACAATCTGTTAAAAGTGATGAACCAGGAGCAGTTGTAATATATCCTCGTGGACAAGCTAAGCAAGAGGTTTGTCCTGCACGTGGTTGATATTCATCGATCATGCATAATTTACAAGTGCGTGTTGTTGAATCATAAGATGAACCCGGTGCACATGGTACTATAGATTTGAAATATTAGGTTAAAAGATTAAAATTTAAACTTTTTGAAAACTAATAAAGATAAATAGAGTCAATATGTTGTGAATTTTAAAATTTCTTTATCTTTGATAGATCATGAAGAGCTCATCTTATTGAAACAATTGATGGTTTGCTAATTACGATTACTTACCGCATAGACTACGAATATTAACAGTTCCTACTTCACATATATGTCGTTCTTTCAACTCGAAACTATTCAAATCCGGTCGACCATTAGGAATTACCTGGAAAATGATTTGAGATAAATATTTGATTAATCAAATTTAACAGTGTTGTAAATTGTATTGCTCAAAATTAACATAAAACATCCACTACGATTAATAAAATTGTTCGCTTACTTAATACACTGAATAGTCGGACCGTTTTTGTACCGGACATATTAAGCATAATTTTATGAATAACAATTCATCTGTCAATTACACAATTTCTAACTCCATCATACACTTACCTGTTCCAAACTAAATATATCTTCGAGTAAAATTTCATTCTCCAATACATCTGATACTTTTGCTCGTTGTCCTGTTTTACGATTCTCCAAAATATCACTAAAATTTGATAAATTTTAAAAGATTAATTTTTTTTACTTACCTTCTAATGAGTCTATTAGATTTTGTTCTTGTCATTTTTAATAGAATTTAACTAACTTTTATGAGTTTAAAAAATAAAACATACTTTGTAATAGGTATGGAAACTTTCACGTTGAAATAGGTTTGTGCTTCACGACGTAATCTTAGAGTTGTATCAACTGTTGTTGCGGTAGTTTCTTCATTTCCGGCAAAACATTCTACCGATATGTTGAAGGTTGAATGGTCACTTGTGTTACTGAAAATAATATTCTAAACAATAGTGTAAATTTTTACCATATCATAAAATATCCTCAAAAAGGTTATAATCCAGACATATTTGAAAATAACGGGACAAGATAAAAAAAGTAATAAATTAAAATTGGAGATTTGAAATTAGGATATAAATATATTAGAAACCTAATCGAATAGATGTTCCATTTGCTATTCAATAATTCAATTCGTTGAGAAAGTTTTTCAGCTAATGTATTTCGACCTGCTGCATTACAAATTGATACGGTAGGATAATTGATGGATACTTCAGCAACTCGTATAGCAGGATGTGCTCTGAAAAACTAATGATATATTTTAGAGATGAAATTCAAACATCGAAGCGATATATCAAAGATGGGTATTTGATAATTTCAGAAAATATGATCTAAGTGAAGAAAAACGAAGTAATACTTAATTACAGCTTACTTAGTACATTGTGGATAACGAAATGTGTAAGCATTAACAGATCGTGGTCTCCATTGACCATCCGATGAACAGGTGTAGAAAATTGGTGGTTCAGTGCTAAATTCATAACCGCTTTCACATTCAATGGAACAAGCCTTATAACGCAACTGTGGACCCCATGATTCACAAGCCTGGACACCATGTAATGGATCTTGCAACGTAGGACAAAATTCACGCGATACATGAACCTAAAAATTAAATAATTGGCAAGAATTTCAAAATATTTAATAATCAATCGACAAGTAATTGTATCATTAAAATAACTATATCATTAAGTAATTATATTATTAAATTATATGAATATTAATTTTTTTATTTATAGAACTTGAAATATTTTACCTTTTTAAATTAATTAATAGAACTGAGTCGATTTAAAATTCAAATGAATTAACCTTAAAGATGCATTCAGCCGTGGAATGATTATCTTTAGCATGATAAACCACAAGATATTCTCCCCATGTAAATACTTGACCAGATTTCAAATTTCTTTTAACATCTACATTTCCATTCGTTGACTTAAATACTGGTTCTTGCCATGTGATATTTATCTAAAGTTCCAAGATTTTTGAGTAATCTATGAAAATAAATATAGCTGGGATAAAAATTTTATTTTACAGTTCAAATATGATTTTAGTAAAATTTAAAAATTTCACGTAAAATTCAAATATTTTGGAGTGATGAAAAAATTTTCAACAATTTATGAATTATTAAATGTTAATGTTAAACCTCTTTTTGATGTGAGATAACAAAAATATCCGATGGACAACCGAGAATTTCTATTTTCTTAATAGGTTGATGATTGTAATTTCGTCCACAAGTACTTCTCACAACTTTTTCAACTTTTCCAGAAAGTCGAGTGTAGCCAGCAAAACGTAAGATAAGATCATTATAGATAACCTATAAAAAAATTAACAAAAAATAAATGGGAATTTTCATCATATGCTATATTATTAATAATCTTATCAAATTATCAACATATCATGGGATCAATTATCATTGGTAAAATATTGATAAAATATTGAATAAATCATAGAATTACCTGTTGTTGTTGGCATTGATGAACAATTGAGGGAATTTCTGCTTCGAAATCAATTACACGTTTCCAAATATTAACCCGTGTTATTGATCCAACAAATTTTGGCTCATTTGAAAATTCATTTATTGGTTCACCAAGTGATATCCATGCACTAAAAATTAATAAACATTATAATCTTATAAATTGCATATATTTAAATGCATCTATTATTTCTTCTATTATTCATATTAGAAATGATTAATTTGATTGAATGAAAATTATAAACAAACTTTATGTCTAAAGTTTTGCCAGTACCATAGCCAACATCAGCATAAATTCGGACAGCATTCCAAATTAACGAATAGGAACCATCAGTTGATTGCCATGTTATCACTAAGTTATTCCAATTACCATCATTTAGCCGTTGTGTTGGTGGAAAATGAAGATTAAGCGGTGTTTCATCGTGTAAAAGATTTAAATGTATATTGACAGCTGATATTCGCAATAGTTCGCTAATTTTTGATGGATAATTACTTTCTCTGAAAATAATGAAGAAATTTTAAAAAAAACTAAAAAATTCAAAAAAGAATAGGTAATTTAAAATTTGTCATCAACTAATTGCTAGGCATATAATTTATGAATTAAATAATTTAAATTAAAAAAAATGATAATTGATTGATAATAAATTGATAAACAATAATTTTTTAAAACTAACTATACAATAATTACAATTAATTAATGTACAAATATCAAACCTGCTATTATAAAGGGTTAAAACAGTTCCACGTGTTAATGGTGTATCAAATTTAACCCATAATGAAATGGTAAAAGCAGTTGATGTAAATTTAAATGGAACCGATAGTGCTGCTGCTGCAGGCAATATTGAATCATAGAAATGAAAATCATAATCTTCATCAATAATCTTATCACAGTTTAAACCGGTCATGTTAAATGGGCATTGGCAGAAGAAACCACCAACCTATAATTGAATTATTTTAGCTATTATTTTTTTAGCAAACAATAAACTTTAATATTAGTATGTAAAATATAAAAGAAAAATTAGCAATTTTAATAAATTAAATAGGTAATAGAGAGATACCTGATCGATACAAGTTGCTGCAAGTGGACATGGTGAAGGTGAACAGTCATTAATATTTGTTTCACAGTTTTGTCCGGTAAAACCTGAAAATATCAAATATTTAAAAAGTGAAACTTTTTAAAGGTAAATCATTATTGTAGACAGATTTATGGCATTTCATAGAATTAATTTTTCTAATTATAAAAATTTATATTTTAAAAACTTATGAATTACAAACTTTTAAATATTGTTATAATTTTGAAATTTGTAGCTAAGTGATATAATTTAAAATCTCAACGATATAGATTACTTTTAAACAATCGCATAATTTTAACTAATTGTTTTAGTATATAAACTTATCACTAACTTGCATTTAATATTTTAAACAAAATGGAGGCAATATTTTTTCAATACAACAATTTTCAAGTCAAAGATAACATGTTTAATTATTATCACCTAAATCCTTATCAGTCTTAGAGGTATACTTGTCAAGTGAATAAAATAACAATAATAATAATGATAATAATAATAGTAATTCAAAAAGGATTTAAACCTGGTTCACAGATGCATCTGTAGTTGCCACCTTCAAGTAATTCGCAAACGGCATCATTCTGACATACGCCTTCTTGACATGCATCTAATTCATACTGACAGCCAGCACCAATATAATCTGCAAAATTAATTAATCCTCTAAACATTTCAATTTACATTATTCTTAAAATTATTTAATTAGTTCGCAAAAAGAAAGATAATTTAATTTTAAAATATATATATATAACTTTAATACTTTATCAATTTTATCAACTTGCTTTAAATATTTCGAGCATAATAGTTATTTGTAACTATTTATATATATAATTATTTGTAGTATAATAAATAAATTTAATTAAGTGAAATCTTCAAAGATTCATTTATTTATACACCCTTGATATTTTAAATAAACATTTTACATTAAATACATTAATTTTAATATATTTCTAAAAAAAAAATTTAGTAAGATATAATAATAATAATTATTATTATTCGTACCTTTTGGACAGGTGCATTCCAAATGTGAACCAAAATCACCGCATACACCACCATTATGACATGGTTCACCCAGGCAACGATTTGGTGCAATCTCACAATCTTTTCCACTAACACCTTCTGGACATACACAAAAATAATCACCGACAAGATTAACACAATGTGCATCATTATGGCATGGATTTAATGCACATAAGCCATCTTCTTCCTCACATTTATTACCTTTCCAACCACGTGGACAATCACATCGGAATTGTGAACCGGTATCTACACAGGTACCATTATTAAGACACGGTTCGGATGCACACTGAAAATATTATAATTAAATTTTAGCAATTTTTATTTTTTGGGAAATTTAAAAGTTAGAAAATTTAACTTTAAGAAGAGTAAAAGAAAAAAACAATTGAAAAATATTATAGCTGCTAATTACCTGATCAATATGAATTTCACATAATTCACCAGCATATCCGTGACGGCAATTACATTTGTAACCATTAATTAAATCTTCACAAAGTTCGGTACCTTCTTGAGAACATTTATGTAATAAATCACATTCATTTCTATTGTGTTCACAATGTGCACCTTAAAAATGAAACAAATAATTATTTACCTTTTTTAATTTTAAATTTTAAATTTCTTTTTTAAAATAAAACTATGAACTTTGTTAAATTTATGCATTTAATTATTTTTACACATTAATTAGTTAATTAATATATGTGATTGTTTTATCTAAAAATGAATTTTTAAATTTTTTTTAAATATAAATTTTCAAAATTTTTTACTTCATTTGTAAATTTGATTTCTTTTTAACAAATAATTTTTTTTCAAATAATAAAATTAAAATTAAAAAAGTATTAATTAAATTAATATAATTTAATAACCTTCAAAACCAAGTAAACATTCACACATATATTGTGCTCCTTGATTCACACATGTTGCATGATTCCTGCATGGTGAAGTAGCACAATGATCGGTCATATGTTGACAGAGAAAACCATGAAAACCCGGTGCACATTGACAGCTGAATCCGTCAATCTATAGTAAAAATCAAAACGTGAAATTATATGAAATCTAATTTATCCAATACAGATAACAGTTAAATTTTAAGTCAAGTAAATTTTAGACGAATTAATAATTTCAGATACTAATTTATTAATAGTATAAAATATATAACTTTTAATATCGATAATTGTCAAAAAATGAGTTTAAATTTAATTCGATGTATTTTGTTAATGAAAATACTTCAGCATTTACCACAACAAAGTCACAAAATACGATTTTATTAAAATTTATAGAAATTAATTAACCTTTTGTTTTTATTAAGGAATTAAAAAATTTAAAACCTGATCTTTGCATGTAGCACCATTTAAGCATGGATGTGAAGCGCATTGATTAATTTTAACATCACAAATTTCACCGGTCCATCCTGGTTCACATATACAACGTTGTGTATGTAACATATCAACGCATATACCATTAATACATGGATTTTGCGCGCAAAGGTTAATTTTTTCATGGCATCGTTTACCGGTAAATCCTTCCGGACATTCACAACGAAAATCATTAACGAGATCGGTGCAAGTTGCATTCATTGCGCATGGATTATCTTCACAATCATCTGAAATAAGAATGAATAAATTGAAATTATAATTAATTAATACATTTGTTTTTGCAAGATACAACTGATAACAAATGAAATTTGTAAAAATAGAAGATTAATCAGCTAATCATATATTAATCAGATAATCAGCTAATCATATATTAATCAGCTAATCAGCTAATCATATAATAGATGATTAATTGTAATTTAACAAATTAATATTAACTGTAAAATATTTAATGAAACTTATTGAAAGGGTAAACAAAAAAATAATCAACCAATATTGATAGAACATGTTTGTCCGGTCCATCCTGGTAAACATTTGCACTTAAATCGTCCCAGTTGTAATGGAACACAATCAGCGCCATTTTTGCATGGATTATCCATAAAACATGGATCAACAATTTGTGAACAATCTGAACCAGTAAAACCGGTCCTGAAAAAAAAACATTGATAAATATTTCAATATGTTATAAATATTTTTCATTTTAAACTACAAAGAAAATATTTCAAACCTGCAAATGCATTTAGTTGTTCCCAATCCAGGTAAATCATGACATACACCACCATTTGGGCAACTCATTCCGATACATTCATCAGGACCAAATTGACATCTACTTCCCGTATAATCTTCAATTTTATTAAACACATTATATATATCAAATAAATTATTGAATTTTATGAAATTGAAATTTAATTTTAAATTTTTCACTTATGCAACTAATTCAATGGAATGCTAATTACAAATTATTTCAAAAAAATAATAAATTTTACTGCAAATTTTTAAAAATTAAAAAAATATATAAATCAAACGAACTTTGCGCACAAATACAACGAAATGTGCCAGCTGCAGCTTCACAAATTCCTTCATTAAAGCATGGTTGTGTATTACATAATGGCATTTGTTCTTCACAATGTTTACCAGTATATCTGAAATATGATCAATTATAAAATTAATCACTAATTAACTATTAATTAAAAATTTTAAGTTTGAAATTTATAATCAAAAAAAAAAAACATGATGTAGTAAATATGAGAAATGACAATAAACTGAAATTAAGAAAATATTTTTCCTAAAAATTTCAGAGAAATTCATGAATGATTGTAAAATTTACAGTTTTAACAAATTATTAGTCCTTTAATTAATTAATGATTGTTTTAAATGATATAATAACATTTGTTTTCATATAATAATAATACTCAATATAAAATGGCAAGATCGTTAAAATTAATTTCATTTTGAATATCATACGAACCCAGGTCGACAAAAGCAAAGAGCTTTATGATTTTCCACCATACAAGCACCCTTATTTTCACATTTTACTGTTGAACAATCAACTGGCATACAATCGGTTTCTTCCACCGTACCCGCATCTTTTGTTATCGTATTATTCGGACATTCTATACATCTGTAACAAAAACAATACAGCAAAAACAAGGATTCATTCTTTTTTAATTTAAATATAATTCGAACTTTATATAACTAACATATTTTTGAAATGAATTAAATAGAATTTATCGTATCAATTCTTTTATTTTAAAAAATTCATTTCCTATTTTCTATTAATCATTCCTAAAACCTGGGAGAAACTATGATCATAAAATTCAGTAATTTGCTATTTTTCATAATAATTATTAGGGAAAATTTAAATAAGTTATTTCCAGGAAGTTAAATAACCTTTGTTGCCCAAGCACAGGTTGATACCAATTGATAAGACATGGTGAGCATGGTTCCAAACCTGTTAATGAGAAATGACCAGCTGGACATGGAAGTTTGCATTGTGATGGACCAGTTGAGCCTAATTTTGCTGTATATGAACCCTAGAAATTTCATGGGTAATTTAGTTTTGGATAACTTTAAATATTTGATTTTAAATTATAACAAATAATATTTATCATACTGTACAGAAAAATGACAAAATTTCGAAATTTGAAATTCATAAATATCAAAATTATCCATTTCTATAAATGTTTGATGTAAATCATTTTCTTTTTTTTCTAAATAAATAATTAATTTCTTAAAAGTAAATAATTAAGTGTTAAGTAAAAGTAATTAATTAATTTTTCAAATAGTTTATTTAAAGTTTAAATTTTAAAAATTTTAAATTATATTACTTGTGGACACGGTTCACATTTCTTATAGCCACCAAATGTTGGAGGACCAGCAAAAGTATGCCGCGGACATAATTGACAAGGAATTAAACCTGTATCACTGTACATACCATTTCCACAAACAGCTATAAAATAATATCATTTTAATTTTTCTCGTATTTGAAATAATTCAAAATTTACAATAACAAATAAACTAATAACATACCAAGACAAGCATTGAATGTTTGAGAACCGGGAAATTGTGTAAATGTTTGTTCCGGGCATGGTTTACAAGTTATTTGAGCTACTTCATCCTGATAACTTCCAGCTGGACATAATTCACAACTGTTATTGATATGAACTGTTCCTTTTGGACATTGCACTAAAGGAAAATTCAATTCATTGATAAAATTTTAATTTAAAATTAAATTTGTTAGAATTTATAAATTTCAAATTACATCTATTGAAAACTTAAATATTAATCGTTACTGCAAATGATATATAAAATATTTATGAATCATAAAAATTATAAAATAATTGGCATAAGAAAAGTTGCAACACCCAAATATAAAAATTGCAATTTATAGAAATAAGAAAAATTAAAATGAATTTTAATAAATTCAAATAAATATACGAACGGCATTCCGGTGATGTTTCCGTATTGCCTTCTCGTAGAATTTCACCATCTGCACAACCAAAACCCTGTACAACAACAGTTTTTGTTGCATTCAACGATGGACAACCAACTGATTGTGTTGCAATTGTTTCACCATTTATATGAAGAAGATTTTGCACAGGTGTGGTAGCACCTAAATGAAAAGAAATAAAAATAAATAAATAATAAATTTAAATTTTGTAAAATTTTCAAATTAAAAAAATATATTAAATTAAAAAGGTAAGAACATCAATCAAATATGATGAATATTTTTTTTCCAATCAAATGTTAAAAGTTCATTAATTTCTAAATTTTTTGAAATGCATTTTAAAGAAATTAAATTTTCAAATTCAAAAGAAAGAAAAGAAAAAACATTTAACACTTAATTAACATAATTAAAATTTTCAACACTTAATTAAAATCAACACTTTAATTAAAATTTAAATTAAAAATATATTAATAATTTAGACAATTTTACTAAAGAAAATATTAAAATATAACTATATTTACCTGGTATCCGTAAATCAAAAATTGTTCGCAATGTTAAACCACATAATTCATAGAACACATCTTGTAAAACAGTTGGAAGTATTTGAATAGTGTAATTAGCAATGATACCATTCATTGTACTTATGAATTGAACATCCAAGAAATGTACAACGACTTCAATGGATGATGAACAACGTTGTGATAAGATTGCATCCAATGTGTTGAAATATGTGCTAATATATTCCGAATAACCCTAGCAATTAATTTTTAAATGTTAACAATTAATTTGAAAATTTGAAAATTAATTTTTAGTGTTAAGAATTAAATTTAAATCCTTTATAATTTATAACAAAGAGGAGAAAAAAGGAGGAAGAATGATAAAGATATTATAAAGATAAGGAAAAATGATAAAGAAAGAAGGAAAATGGTTCAGAAAAAAGTATATGTTGAAAATATGAAATTGAAATTAAAATTTTAATCAAAATATTGATAATAAAAAATAAGTAAATATATTTATTAAAGTGACAGCTTTTGTTTTTAAAAAAAAAAAAAGATTCCATAAATTATTGATTAAATAGCAAACTATATAGTTAAATGATTATCAAATGCCCATTTTTTTTCCTTATCAATTAATATTCACTAATTAAGAGAAAAATAATTTCAAAATTTTGATCTCAGCTTTGATTTAATTTTGAAATATTTATTCATAATAAAATAATCAATTATTTTATTACCTTAAGACATTCACTACCAACAGGAGTTGAAACAGCATATTCAATACTGACAGTTAATTCATAACGAGCTGGTTCTAAAGTAACTGGTACACAAGCTGGTACCACATTTGATGGTGACCATACACCATTGGTACATGTAAATTGTTGCGTAGCGTTTTTTTCATTAACAAACGTGAATTTCCTGGCACATTTAACGTTACATATAGTTGTGGTACCTTGCATTTGACATTCTTTTTCAACATTTTCTTCACCGATCAATGACCACGATGAACATGGTTTTGCTATAATTTTAATATTTCAATTTAACAAATTAAAAATGTGATATGATAACTTCTAACTCTCTATTTGGCTTTTGCTAATTGTAATAAGAGCTTTTCAAATTAGTTTTCTTTTCAAATCACTGTATTGGGCACATATTTATTACGATTAAAATTTAACCAAAAAAGAGTAACCAAAAAATTTGATTTGTATTATAATATATGTATTATATGTAATACTATTATAATATATGTAATACTTTATTATAATATATTTATTGTAATATATGTAATGCCTTTTTTGTTATTACCGTTGCAATAATTTTAATTGTCTTAAACAAAGGAAAAAATTTTAAGAATGAATATTGGAAAGAAAATAAAAAGTAGTAACCTTGAAGAGATACTTGAAATTTGCATTTATTACGATTTGATGCGCTATCAGTAGCGGTAACTTCAACTGTAACATGTGAACTAAGAGTAAGTAAAGCTTCAGATGGTTCAAATGTTACATCCGTAATATTAGACGTATCCTGAATTACCACTTGTACTGTACTTTCATTAAATGTAATTAATTTTTCAAATTCGCCATCATTAGCCGGAACAATATATGAATCAGGACATTTCATCACAGGTGGTTGTGTATCTAGAAAACAGAAAATAAACAATATTATATACTCATTTGTTTACTTAATAAGTTTTAATAAAACGTAATATTTCTGAAAAGGAAAAGCAATTACTAAAAATAATTATACCAGGTATTCGAAGTTGTATAATACATTCTGCTGCATTACCAGCATCATCAAATGCTACATAAATAATATCCATATCATGTGAAATCATTTTTGGTGGTTCAAAACCATCCGGTGTTACATGTATATATGCTACTGATCCGGAATTATCAGCTGCAGTTGGTATTTCATAAATAGCTGGTAAAAGTTGTCCATTATCATCTGTTAGAATATAAACCGGATTTGTTGGACAATTATGAAATGTTGGTGGTTCACTGTCGACACATTGTGGTACAGATGCGTTCCAACCAACCTGTATTTGAATAAGTAATAAATAACTAATGATAATGATGATAAAAATTAATGAAATTAAAGGTTTATAATAAATCATAGCAATAAATTTGAAATGAAAAAAATTTTTGTTACCCAAATTTAACTAAAATAAATGAATAAACCTGTAAATGAGAAGGAATTTCATGAGCAACTGAAAGTGGTGCCAAACATCCTTGCACATCAAAACGGATGCAAGGATTCTGTTCGTATTCCGTAACGCCAAGAAGAATATAACGTGCTCGTAAAGGTGGATTTAATTCAAACTGATGCATTGCATTATGATTTCCGGATGGCGTTTCAAATTCCTATGAAACAACATAGCTATTTATATTTCATAACATTACTTCTATATAATATTTTTGAGAACATATTAAAAATTTTAAGATGTTGGATGAAAAATGTAACGTACAATTGGATATGTGTCATAATTTTGACTATATTGAACTTTGTAGAATAACTGCATTTTGGTAATATGACCACGTAAATGACCACTACCCGCAACGCCAGCCATACGCAGTGTTGTTAATGTGTAGATCCGTTGTAAATCAACGGAAAGAAAGATAAAGGCATCTTTAGAACCACACCAACCAGTAGATGATAATCGAGCCTGAAATTAAAGCTTTGATAAGTGATAGGAAAGATGATTGAATTTAAAAAAACTTTTAGATTTTAGAAAATCTTTATTAATAATGGAAAACTCGGAAGATTAGTCAGATAATTTTTTTTTTTTATCTATTACCTTATGAGGTTCATAACCCCAAGTGGTCGAATCAGAATTATCGGCAAATGCACCATCCGGAATGAAACCGGATGAAATTCCAACATCTTCCGCTAAGACACAAGCTGTTCCAAGTGTACAATTAATTGTATCAGATGGAAATGGCTTATAACCAGCTCGATTACAAGTAAATTTTGCTTGTGCGCCTTCTTCCACTGATTCCAATTGGACTTGACCATCATCCGGAAATCCGGGATCAACGCAAATCGGTCCTGAATGCCAAAAAATTGACTCATGTTATATGAATGAATAATTAGAGATTTAAAATATTCCAATAAATTTCATCCCTTAACTTTTAATCACATTTATCTTTAAGAAAGCTAACCTTCACATCTCAAATCTCCAAGATCCCAGTTACCGTCAACATTACATCGAATAGTTCTATCATCATAACTGGATTTACCGATTAAACTATACGGTGGTCTACAGCTGAATGTAAATGCCGATCCTACCTGTAAAAATTAAACTCTATTAATTAACTAATAAAAGTGACTAATTCTTTAAATGTGAAAACACAAAATTCAAAGGATAAATTATTAATTAATCGGTTAAAATTGGATATTAAGAGATAATATCACTTATCATATATTTAAGATTATTTTGCTTTCTTTTTTCTCTTCTTTTAAATTAATCATTAGAAATATTAAATCAAAGTAATATCAAACTTTGTAAGAGTAATCGTCTCCTTCATAAATAGCACCAGCAAGTGATGGTGGTGGACCACAATCTACCAAAGGACAATCAATTTCCGGTCCTGACAACCAATAATCTCGGCCATCTTCTTGTGGATCATAAATACATTGACGAAATGATGATAATAGCGAACTGCTTGCTATAATTAACACTAATTATTTAAGTTAAATAACAATTTCTATGTTTCATTTCATTACAGCAAAAAAATTCAGCATGATAATTTGTATATGAAAAGGTAAAATTAATTTAAATAACTTTATATTACTTACCTGGTCGATTTTGTTGACTACAAACGATCGACACATTGCGTCCATATGCAATAGTACTATTTTCAGGTGCAACGAACAAACCAATCGCTGAATTATTACGTACACCTTGACATGTCGCTGCTAAAAATAATTTTAATTAGTATATATTATTTATTATTTGATTAAATTTTACACATGCTTCAAACTTTTTCTCATTTTCTTCTAATTAATTTAACTTTTCAAAAAAAAAAGATTTGTTTAATTAATTAAAAATTTTCGCCCCAAAAAACCCTACTTTTTTAATTAAGATAAAAATTAACTAACGAAGACAAAGTGGTGCTGTACCATTCCAACTACCATCTTGCATACATTTCAAATGGCTTGCACCCATCATCTATAAATTTTCATTTAAAATATTTATTTAATTAAAATAAATAAATAATTAATAATAATTAAATATGCTAAAATATAAAAACAAAATAATACTTACTTGATAGGCAAAATCACATTGAAATTGTACAACCATTGGATAATGGAATGTTTTTGCAGTTGAAAGAAGTAATCCATTTTTTGGTGATGATAAATTAGCACATACACGTGGTACACATGTTTGATTATATCGGATAACATCTAATGCATTGAAGCCTGTTTCACCATCCTAAATTTATTGAAAATTTTTATAACTATTAAATAAAAGGAAAAAGAAAATTATCATTAATAAAAATTAATACCTAATATTAATTATTAATTAATAAAAATATTAATTCATTTCAAATGAAACCTTTATATGAACACCACCCTGGCCATCTTCGGTAAGTAAATCAAAACCAATTTCACATGCACAACGATATGATCCCTGTGAATTCGTACATATTTGTTCACAATTACCATTATTTTGCTCGCATTCATTCACATCTATAATATTATGAAGAAAAAAATCTAACATAATTACCTTCTAACACAATTAATTTTTAATAGTCTAACATAATTAACTTCTAACGTAATTAACTTTTGATAATCTAGCATAATTAACTTTAGAATATTATGATGAGTAAAAAAGTTTTTACAAATTTTAATGAAATTTATTAAAAATTTAGTATTTTTATTTAGCATAATTAACTTTTGATAATCTAACATAATTAACTTCTAACATAATTAATTTTTAATAATCTAACATAATTAACTTCTAATATAATTAACTTTTTGATAATCAATCATAATTAACTTTAGAATATTATGAAGAGAAAAAAGTTTATACAAATTTTAATGAAATTTATTAAAAATTTAGTATTTTTATTTAAGATAATTAACTTTTGATAATTTATTAATTTCCGGAAAAGAAAAGAAAGAACGAAAGAAAAAATGAAAAATTACCGAAACAATTTGTTTTGTGACAACCAAGAATATCCAATTTCATGCATGCATTATTGGAAAATTCTTCAATTGTAAGTTCGAGTACCCGAACTTCAATTGCTTGCGATAAGACGAGTAATTCACCACCAACAATTGCTACATTTCGAGTTATCAATTTCTAGATAATTCAACAAATTTTTCTAATTATTATTTTTTAAAAAATTATTTGAAATTTAAGAAAAAAAGAACTTGAAATGTTTATTTGATATTTTGATACATGAATTTTATACCAATGATCTTATTTTTAATCGATCGATAATATGAATTTTTCGTAGTCAATGAAAATTTTTTAGGAAAAAAAAAGAATTATTAAAATAGGAATTTAATTTCAATATTTATTGCTAACATTAACTTACGGTAATATTAGCAGCAGTAAATGGTATTAATGGGATACCGGTATGATTTGAATATTTCAAACCGATAACCGTTGGATAAGCACCATTTATCGTTTTTTCCACACGTATTCGTTCAATAACTTTTGGTACGGCAAAAACAAACGTAATTTTTGGATTGGTATCATTAGGATTTGCGCACCAACCTGTAGCGTGAATTAATTGTCAACTTTCTTTACAATCCTTTCAAAGAAATCCGACAGAATCATATCGTATTAATTTAAATTTTCAGTAGTTCTTATTTTATTATGCCGGAAAGATATGAGAGTTGGCTGTTTAATGTTATTGGTCTCTTTGTTCAGGGAAGATCTTTATGGTAGGTATCATACGCGATAAATAAATGGACGCTAGTAATAAAAAACAAAATGACACGGAGAAATTAAACAATACCGCCAAATTGGATTCTCAAATTAACAAAATACAATTGTATTCATTTTCATCATAACATTTAATTTCAAATTTGAACATTATCAAATCTTCAATTTTAATTCTTTGAAAAAAGAAAATTTTAATTTTAAAAAATTACCTGTTGTTGCATAATCTTTAGCACGAAAGCCATCCATTTCGCTGCTTCCTTCAGCAGTAAGAGAATTTAAAACTGAAGCAGTACTACATGCTGAAAAGATAATCTTTGTATACTTACAATTGCGGAAAAATATTTCAGAATATTGTAATAAGAAACACTAATTATAATATGAAATAATATTATGCCTTACATAATTGTGCTTGAAATCCAGAAAGACATTGACAATGATAACCACCCGGCATATTAACACATTTCGTACTTTGAATGCTACAAATAGCTGATCCTTCAGCACACTCATCAATATCCTGACATTCTGGTACATCACTAAGTGTTTGATTAGCAAGACATTTCAAAGAATCAGCTCCAACGGTACGAAATCCCGGTTGACATTCAACTCGAGCCAAATCACCAAATTCAAATCGTTCACCCGTTACCACAATACCATTAGTTATTAATGGTACATTGGTGCATGCTAATTCTTAAATAAGTAAGCAAATTTTTATTTTCATCTTTGATTTAACATTACTAAATATATTCTAATTTTAATTAGTTTCATTACAAATTTGATAAATAAACATTAATGAATGCAATTAGCATCGAAAAAAAAAACGGCAAATTTTCTGCATTGTAGAAAAATTGAAGGTTAAAAAAAATTATCCTATTCTCATTTTATTTTGAAATAAGATGTTTTTAGAATAATTGAAAATTAAAATTTAACTAAGATTAGAAGAAAGAATATCGATTGGATAGGCAAAGGAAACTGTAATTGCTTCAGGCTATTTTGTCCCTTACTTTCATACCATATAGACAGACCTTTACATTGAATTTTTAGCCTTTTTTTAACTTGATTTTACAAATTACAAAATTCAAATCTTAATTTCTGTCATATTAAAAATTTAAAACGATAAGACAAACTTTTGCAGTACGGTTGAGCGAATGACCATTCACCGGTGGATAGACAGAGAAGTGTTGCAGCACCAATTCTTCGAAATCCAGCAACACATTCAAATCGAAATACCGTACCATAACCAGTACCGTCTCCAAATTCCAATATTCTTTCACCATTCAAAAATGGTGCCAATGCAGGACATGTCATTGCTATAAATTTAAAAAGCTATAAAATAAATTAAAAGCTATAAATTAAATTAAGAGCTATAAATTTTATAAATTTAAAAAATTAAGGAGATCGGAAAAATTGCAAATTAATTATTTGCGATATCAAAATGAAAAAAGTCTTCCTGAAATTAATACATTTTTGAAATCAAATATTTTTGAATAAAAAAATGTCCTAAAATTTGAAAATAATTTTTGAGAAAAAGTAACTGAAAATACTGATTGTTAAATAGATTTCAGGATATCTTCAAACTTTAAAATAACTCGAGAAAATGTTCTACTACCTTTACAGGATGGTGGTAGAGTCCATCGTCCTTCATCGGTGCAATAAATTTCACCTGATTCTTTACCACTCGAAAAATCGAAACCATCATAACATGTATACTTTGCTGATCCACCGTATGAAACATTTGTTGCCGACGATGCAAATCCATTAGCAATTTGTGGAACAGCCGAACAATAAACCGCTATAATTTAATTCATTTTTTTTTACAGAAGATTTTAAACTTTAATTTTGGATTATTTTCGAAAATATCTTATAAGAAATTTTTAATAATTAAAAAAGCAATCGATAATTCATATATTAATTACGTTGACAATCTGGAATATGATCTTCAGTCCATTTTCCGCCTAGCTGACAGGTGATATCGAACATCTGTCCACGTCCAGTACGAAATTCATAGCCACGAGGACATGATGCGGTTACTTTTGTTCCAAATGCTGATGCTTTTGTTGATAATGATACAAGTTTTGGTGTTTGCAATGGTGGACAATCTACAACAAAATTAAACATTTTAATTAAACAAATTAAATATATACAAATTTTTTTCTAAATATCAAATAAACAAATTTTTCCAAATAACAAATAATATCGAAGAATTACTGGTTGAGAAAGTAATATTCCATCCGAGATCATTCCTGATTGAATTAGTAATAAAAACAATTTGAACAATTCCGGTTTGAGCAAAAATACTTTTCGGAGGTCGGGAAACAGCGGAAAAGCCATCACCCGGATGTAAAGCTCGACCACCTTCAATTTCCTCGAACATCTAAAAATATTTGATAAATTTTTCATTATTTATTCCAAAAATGCAAAATTTAAAAATCCATAAAATAAAGGTTAAAAAAAATTGATGCACAAAGAAATTAAAATGAACCAATAAACGATCATCCTCTGCAACATCAAAACTATTAATAGCAAATGCTGTAGGTTGCTCCGGATTTCTATCTGGTAATTCCACAGTATAAACACATCTCTGAGAATTCGGATATGGTATTCGAGTATAACCAGGTGATGTTATAATTCCCTCATTTAAACGAATTCGATTTGAGCATCCTATAAAAGTTGTGCAATAGCATTTTCTTATAATTTTGGCACAAAACTTCTCTTTTATAAATTAATTAGAACTTCTCTTTTTATAAATTAATTAATTATAAATTAATTTTTTTATAAATTAATTTTATTATAGATTAATTAGAACAAAAGAATGCAAAACAAAGTTTACAAAAAAATCTGATAAGAAAGAAAACAAAACAAACCACGCTTATATGTTATACTAAATCCTCGTCCATTTCGAGCAAAATTTGAATAAAAATAAATATATAATTGTGATTGGGTTGAAATGATTAATTGAGGATTTGTGATTGTTCCGGTTAAACGTGCTAATACCGGTGCTAACGGTGTACCACCATCATAAATTTGTAAGAAATCATTAACTTTTTCCAAATCAAATTCTCCTACCTGAACTGCATTTTACTGATTAATTCATAAATTTTAAAAATCTTTCATAAAATTCCAAATCAAATATCACTCATCAATTTTCAAATTAATATGACTAATTTTTGTTCATCAATTTTTCGATTTTTTTCAATCAATCTTTTATAAATTTTACCTAAAGTATATTGTGCATAATAAACTTATCCCAATTCTTAATTAATTTATTTACTATAGCAACAAAGATTTGCAACATTTCAAAAATTATTTCAAATTTTTAGCTAATTAAGTTTAATTAAAAAAATGTTAGCATTGAACAAACATCGAGTGAAATAAGTTGTCCTGGATGAGCATCAATCTTCCACACACATTCTACACCATTCTGATAATTCTTTGGATAATCTGGGCTAGTAAATGTTTGTCCATATGGCTGAGCTTTTAATACACCTCCACAAGAGACACTTGCTAAAAAGATCATAAATCTTACTTTTTCTAAGAAAAATATGCAAATATTTGATATCAATTAATTGAAATTAATTAATTAATTAAAATTAAACTAGCAATGAACAAGCTTACCGGCTCTCCAACTTGCTTCAAATCCACGTGCCACAATTTGTGCATCACTGCTAAATCTTACAACCATTACATTGGTACTTGAAATTAATGTTTCAGGCTTTTTTGATCCGGAAAGTATAGCAATAACAACCGATGAATTCTCAGCTGGGCCACCATCCAAAATTGTTACAAAATCTTCATATTCTTCCGTTTCGAATGCATCAAATGTTATCTGTGCAAAAATTTCTATGATACTCTTTTTTTTTGTTTTTCTTAATTTTCTCCTTCAATTCTAATTTTATGAGTTTTAATTGCAAAAATCTGTTAGCACAAAGCTAAATTGCAATTTCAAAAAATCCATTACTACAATTAATTCTGAAACAACTTCAAATTTCAAACAAAATTTATCAATTCCTTTTCTGTCATTTTAATCTTTAAACAATGATTTCCGGAATTCATTAAAATCTAAACGAGCGTTTTTCATATACATACCATAAAAATAGGTTAAATTCGGAAATGATGCCTTTTTTCGATTTCATAAATTGATTGTAATTTTTAATGTAATTTGTTTCGATATATAGTAAAGTATTATGAATTTCAGTTCAAAACAATAAATTTTTGTCATTTTCAAAATGTGAAATGAATTTTCATTTCTTCAACTATTATTAATTGAAAAATCTATAAAAATTGTTGAATGAAATGAATGTATCAGTAATGCGGGTAGATCACAACGGATTATATTTATTACGACATACATGAATCCGTGAATTGATTGGTCCTTCGATGACCCAACGACAATTCGCATTGGCATTATATGGTGACGGATAGTTTGGTGATTGTATTTTACCTGATTCACCTTTTTCATATTTCAAACATGCGATCACTTTTGGTGATGCTATAACAAATTGCTACCATTTATTGAGATTATTATCAAATAATTTATAAAGAAATTTTTTTGAATTTCTTTCTTTGACAAATTTTAAAAGATTTGAAATTTTGAGCACATTTAATATCATATATATATATATATATATATGTGTGTGGGAAAAAGGTAAAACAAAAATAATTATAACTTTTAAAACAACTATCAACGCCTATTGTTTTAGATATTTTAGATTATAATTAATTAATATATGGGTTCGATAAACAAAACATTTCAATAATAAAAAATGAAGAGAAAAAAAAACGTAAAATTCCAACAAAAATCAAGGTTGCAGACTAAAATTTTGATTAATTCGGCAGCTTTAAATTGCATGTGAAACAGGTAATAGTGAAAATTTTTACCGGGACAGTTGAATTCATCACTGTAATCACCGCAATCATTGATACCATCACAATGAGCTGAATGTGATACACAGTTGCCATTTTGACAAAAAAATGAACCTAGAAATTTTTGAATAAATTAATTTTTTTAAATTATCTATGATAAAATTCATTCCGTTCAATTAAAACAAATAAATTTTATTGATAAAAATTTTTAACAATTTATTTTTGTTAAATTTAGTTATCGGATTAAATTAATGAATGTGTTTTAGGAACATTCAGATAATTAACTTCTTATATCGTGCATAATATAGGTACATTAGCGATCCGAAAAAGATCTACAAAATTTATCATCATGCTATTCTGTATTTTCGGATAGATTATTCTGCTGTATGTAGTATTATTAAATTTACCATAATTGATACATGTTAGCGTCTTCTCTTCTGTCGCTTCTCTTCTAAATTCTCTTTCTTGTTTTATAACCTTTAACCTATCTCTCTCTTCTTCAAAAATCCATTTACGACGCATAATTAAATTATAAAATAAATTGGTTTCTAATCACAAAAGTTTGCGTGCAAAAATTAAATTTCTGAAATTTAAAACTTTAAAGATTTTTTCTTTAATTTTTTGCAGAATCATAATTTTCCACCAATTTTAAAATAACTTTTTATCAATTTAAATTAAAAATAAATTTCCAAAATATTTTTGCATATAAATTAAATATTATCAATTTTTCACTTTCAAATTATTTAATTAATGATAGTACTAAACAGAAAAAAATTATATTATCAAAGTTTTTAAATGTGAATCAATTTGAATTGTAATGATAAAGATGAAGTTCCATTTTCCTCGTTTGCATTCTTTTTATTGTTTTAATCGGCAGTTGGTACAAAGGCCGATGCCAAGGTCATCTAAGTACCGCTATCTCTTGCATCTTACCTCACCTGATTTTATTTATGTCCGAAATTTTCAATCTTTCATTTTCATGTACTCTTCTCAATATCTTTTCATCATCAATTCTTCTTCATATTATTATTGGCTTACCTTTCATGCATGCAGGTAATTCACATACAAATGGTAATAGTGTATTGCACATTTCTAAACTCCACCGTAGTCCATCAGTTGTTGTGATCGACACCTATGAAATTTAATATATTCGTATCGTCATTATTAATTGAACAATGAATATTACCTCAATTCAACGCTCTTTTTTTGTCATCATTTAATAAAATAAATCGTAAAAATTGTTCATTGATTCATTTTGTTCATTCATTCCTTTATAATTTTATTAATTATTAATTGTTTCATATCTAACAATAACAGTTATCCATGAAATATCACATCTGTGATACTAATATGACAAAATTTCGTCTTACGACATCATCACCTAATTCCATCTTTCTCTTATCTCTTCATCCTTTTCTCTTTTTGTTTCCTTTTTTTTTTCAAAAAAAGTTTAGTAACTTTTGAATTTACAAAATTCAAATTTTTCGATGGAAAAAAAATGGAACAAAGATTGAAATTAGTAGAATGATTAATTGAATGTACAATAATACATCCATATATACTTTTAAATTTATCAATGTACCAAATTTCTTTACATTATTGCAGAATAATTTTCGGTTAATAAAATAATAAGAATACCTTTGCACAAGTTCCAGCTCTATAATCTGGTTGTCCATCATTCCAAAAACCAACATAACGTGATGTCATGGTACCATCAGACCATAAAAAATATGGATCTTCATCTTCGGTTTGCTGTGCAACAACACCTTCAATTAAATAACATTCGTTAAATTTCATAAATTTTCATTAAAAAATTAAACTATCAAAAAAATAAAAAAATTAATTCATACCAATCCAAAATTCGCTACGATTTATTGAAAGAATTTTTTGTTGTCGATTGATTAAACGATGCAAAAAGCTATTTTCGCCAAATGATTCAATACGAGCAAGTTTACTTCCGTACCTGTCATTCAAAAGCACAATGATTATGACATATCAGATATCAGATTAATTTCAAATTATGCAAATTAACGAAATCTACAAGTACCAAATTAAATTTCTATTGAAAATAAAATATACAATATATCAATTCACTCAAGAAAACAATCACTTCATAGAAATTAAGTTTTCCAATTTCAAATTCTAATTGAAATTTAAATTTGAGAAAAGAAAATTTGTAAATAATGATTTGTTAAAAATTTTTGGATTTTTTTTTTTGTCCGAAAACTTCCAAAATTTTCAAACGGAAAATGAATGTCAAATTTTGCTATCAATATACTATTAATTAATTCATTATCATTTTAAACAATCTTTGCAAATTTTATGATCAACTTAAAATTAAGAAAACTATGAAGCAAAACAAAACATATTAATAATAGTTAAAAAATTTAATTTTATAAATTTTAATAATGTTAATTTTTAATGAAAAGTAATACTAATAATGCTAGTAATGATAATATTAGTGATAATAACAATGATAGTAGTAATAGAAGCGTTAATAATAAACAGTAAACGATAAATTATTTTAAATTTTCGAACAATCCAAAGGATGGATTAATCATCTAATTAATTAATACATCAAATCTTACCTGGAACAAAATAATAATGCTTGTGGCCATGATCGTTCAATTGTATATACCCGAAAACATTTCGACCTGTATTTCTCCCATCCTTGTGCACAGTCTAAACCAATATCTGATACTGAATATTGTGAAGCAGTAATATTTTTCATAACGTTTTCCTGCAAATTTTCAACAAAATTTAAAAAACTATGTAGTTGTATAATTTTCAACAAAATTAAAAAAATTATGCAATTATATAACTTTTTGTATTAATCCAAAAATGGCATCTTTTCTTCTTTTTCTTCTTTTAAAATCTAACTTGTTCTGTAGCAGTTGTAATAGTAGTGATAGTAGTAGCAGTTGCAGCACTGATAACCGTAGCACTGATAACCGAAAACACCGATATAAGAGCAACGGTATTATCCGTAAAAATTGTTGCAATTATCACATTTTGTTGCAATAAATGCAGCAATATGAGTGATAATAATAATCGTAATCGTTGTTTTTGTGGTGCAACGAATAAATGATTTCGTCGGAAAATTATCATGGTAGATGATAATGATAATAATATATGGTGGAAGCGTACACATACACCACCCACCGCAGTAAATGTTGGGCCGTCAATGTCGCTAGGCGTCAATCAGTTGTTCAGGCTGTCTTACGGATTTTGCAATCAGGGCAAGAAGATGATGAGAGAAATAGTCCAGTTGACCTCATTAATTTGACCTTCCATTTGCTTCATTTCAACCTTCAAATAAATGAGAGAATGTGCCACCTTGTCTTTCTTCAAAACTCTCACAATAATCATTACCAAATATAAATATCAGTCTGTCCTTATTCTTCATCCTTTATTGCCAACCTTCTTCTTCCTTTTTCCTCCCCTCTCTTATCTCCTCCTCTCCTTTTCCTGTCTTCCTCTCTTTTACTTTTACCTCTTTCCACTTCTCTCCTATATTACAATATCTAAATTTTGAGCTACCATGTCATTTTCATTTCATCATATTTCTACAAAATTTTCATTTTCACTATCTAATTAGTCGTTCGGTCATAACGATGATACAACAATGATGGTAATGAACATGATAATGATAATGATAATGATACGAATAACGATCAATAGAAGTATCAAATAACTTTTCATTATAATATTTATGACAATATTTTCAACTTCCAACTTCATTTCTTATCCATAAATTAACTGTCATCTTTCTTGTTGTATCTTTCTATTTTTACAAAAAAAAAAAATTTCATTTTTTAATTTGTTTTAATTTGTGTACTAATCAATTCCACTGATAATAGATTTTCGTATATATCATAGATCTTAAATCGGAATGATTACTATCATTTACTATCAGATTTTTAATTGTAAAAGAGAATAAGGAGAAAATCCGGATTTTGTCGAAAAATATCTCGATAAAAAACTGTCATTAAATAATGATGATTTGAAAAATGTCACATTAATCACGCCAATTTGCAGGCTCATAATAAATTTAAATTGATATTATTAGAATAGAATTCATGTTTTTGATAATCATTATATTATAATTCAAAATTACACAAAACTTTTTGATTTTAATTCCCATTTTCTTCTTTTTGCTTATCAATCTTTTACAAATCATCCATCGTTTAATTTGAAGTCAATTTAACGGAATTATTCCGGAATAATTTTCAGCTTAAATCCGATCAACATATAATATACATATACAACGTATCTTAAACTTTTGAGAAATATACTATCACTCTTTAGTTGAGAGCTTAATGTGTGACAAAATATTTCAATTGGATTTCATGAAGGAATTAATTATTTCGACTAACTAATTATCTGAATACAACTAGTAATGTTCACATTAATATTCCTGCAAGTTTTTCTTTCCTGCTGCAAAACTTATTTGAAGAATTATATTATTAGAACATAAAATAAAGAAACATTAAGTATTTATCAAATATTGATTTTATTAAATTTCATTAGTCTACTAAAATTTAAAATCTCATCCAAAAAAATTACAAGAAAATAAAATTAAATGAACATAAAGAAAAATCCAAAATATAATCCAAATAATCCAAAATGCCATATAATGCTACATAATGTCATATAATCTAAAATACTAAATAGTACTTAAATACTTAATAACCATTTCTTTCCTTTAAAATAATTTATAATATTTGTAATAAATTTTACCATATATTTTTTAAATATGATAAAAAAATAAACATTTTGAAATAAAACAAATACTAATAATTGCTAAATGAAATTGAAATAAAAAATAATCATAAATGGAATTTATATTTCAACAATTATATTTTAATTGATAATAATGGGAAGAAAAATAAACTTATACAAAAGGTATCATCGATATATGAAAACTTGAAATGATTACTAAATGAATGATATGAAATGGAAATTGATATTTGGGGAAAGTATGATGAACCATTTAGATAATACATCGATGACAAAATCTTCCTTCATACATCAACAATATCAATAACAACAATGATGATAGCAATTGTCGAGTTTAAAAAATAAAATTTTTTGATTTCATAAAAAATATTTTAACATGCCTTTTACGTAGGCATTTCAATAAATTAATTCACTAATATTTAAATGAGAAGAAGAAAAACGATTTTTAAAACAATACACATACATACATCTCATTAATACATGTGTGTGTGTGCGCGCATGTGTAGGCGTATGTGTGTGTGTGTGGGTGGGTGGGTGGGTGGATGTATCGTCGCCTAAATTAACTGACCTATCTTACTGATAAAATACTATCATCTTTCTATACCAATTTAAATTTTTTAGTTGTAGTATTAAAAGAAAGAAAATATTTAATCTAAGAAATAATTTCACGAAAAAAATAGGAAGAAATAAATTTAATCGATCATTAAAACTTTATGAAAATATAAGACAAATAAATGAAATAAATAATTGTAGTAGAAGTTTACAAAAATTTCTTAAATATTTTTTACCCTCTTTCTCTCTCTCTCTCTCTCTCTCTGAAAAGAAAAGATGCGATTACGGTGTCTGATAGGAGAATAATTTGGATCAATTTTGCATCAAAAGATTGAATTCTTTACTGATTGGAATAGTTTGGAAAAATTAATTTGACATATTTTTATATGTAAATTTTTGGTACTTAAAATATGATCATAAAAGGTGATAATTTGTGAAAAATTTATTTAAACATTAACTTTCATGATTAAATTATAAATATGTATAGTGAAAAGAATGAATGGATTGGTATTTGAAGAGATAAAAATTTGATAATAACCTGTGCATTGTTGATGATTGATTGATTCCTACTGATCGATTAAATAGTTTATGAAATTTGAATGATTTTTAATATAAATTTGGTAAGTAGAGATAAGCCTATGACCTAAACGTTAAATAAAACCTCTATAATTACCGATAATTTACCGGGGATAGAGATGAGAAGAAACGAAGGAAGAAAATAACGAAATGATTTCTAACAGAGTAACAAAATTATTAGAATGACACGGATTGTTGACCTATAATCATTCGGTAACCTGAAATTACTCACTCGATAACTTATCAAATTAATAAATACACAAAAAAGAAAAGGAATGCACCATAAGTAAAGATTATTAAGAAATGAAAATAGTGTTAATCTATTTTCACAACAAATTTATCCACTTCATTTTTTTAAACAAATAGTACGGGATGACCGATGGTCAGAAGAAATATCCACTAATAAAATAGTTACATCTAGCTTATCCGTAATCTATGCTAACTCTTCTCTTTTGATAGGCTTCATTTATATGTTCAACTATTTCCCTCTGTTTGACATATTGTAGCAAATATATCACTAATTAATTAATTAATTTTATGATTGAATTAAATTAATTTTAAAGTTACAAATTAGAAGCTGATAAAATTTAAAGTGGATTAAAATGACACCATTATGATATCTTGATATCCTTTTTGCATTATCATCCTATAAGGTCAAATATATGATGATATTATTCGATTGTATTATGCTTCGATACTGTTTGAAATTTCAAAAAATTAAAATGATATAAACTTTAGAAGTGGTGAAATTTGCATAATATAATCTTCTAATGTAAAAAGATTTTATTTAGAGTTTTAAGCTAAAATTAATGAAATCTTATGATAAAGTTAACAAAGATAACTTGATAGGAATAAATAATCCTCGATGAAATTATTCCTAACATATTGTCGGGATTTATAACATGTCGTTATGACATATGGCTATCCTCATCCACAGAGGATATGCAATAGTTTTTGTAAAAGGTTGGAGTGATGTCTACTCATATAATTGAGAACACGGATGTGGAATCTTTCGATTCTCAATTCCGTAAAATTGATCCTTTTTCCGATCGTTTAATTTCAGTGGCACTGAAGTTGGTACACTATTTTTGCTATGTCTACAAACAACATTAACACATCACTTTTCCAAAATATGATACCAAATGAATTCAATTCTTTCCTACTATTAGTCTCTCTCTCCCTCTTTACAACATTTGCTCTGATGTTTTATAATCATTCAATAATTTTTAATAGCTAAACAAAAATAAATTTTGCAGTTATCAATAATTCTTTAAATATTATATAATTTAGAAATTTCTTTGTTCTAAAATGCTTCATGCATTTACCAATCGGTTAACAAGCAAATAAAGCGTTTTAAAATAATTCTTTGCCAAAATTACGATATTTTTGTAATCTTATTTTGTAAAGGAACGGAAAATTTTTATGGATCGATAATTAATTTTATTGGAAATATTTCTTTTAAAGCGAAAATAATGTTGATGCGGATTTTATAGACATAGAAATTACAACCGAATGTTAATAACCGGGTGTATATTCGGATACACTACCTTATTCGATATAGAAAATAAGGTTTACTTTATTAATAAATTTTGAAAACTTGTTCGAAGGGAAACGAAAATCAATCATGTGTTCCAGTGTAGTTAATTTCTCTTCATTTCATTTGTTCATCATGTTGTCAAACGTATGGATGGTTTTAATATAGTTAATTATACGATGATTGTTGTAGGCGAGCATCTTTTACTGCACGTTATAGTTTTTTTTTTTGCAACATTATCAGTGATATGTTTTTATAATATAACTTCAAAATTAAATAAATTAGAGAACAAATTGAGAAAAAAACAATCAAAGCGGACTGTATTTGTTTCACCTATGAAATATTCGGAATTACGACAATATCTTAATATTATAATAAACTCAGCAGAAGAACAAATTTACAAAATCACATCCAAAATTTGTAAAAACTTCAACAAATCAAAATTTGCTAATATCCATTCTTCATTGAGCTTTTCTCGATATCCTTTAACGATAGAAATGACAAAAAATTCCAGGATTAGAAAAGAAATAAAGATTAACAACAAAGGATATACGAAATAAACTTAGATTTGTCAATTATTTCAAAAAAATTGGTAATGAAGTGATGTTGTTAACATCAGTAATGAAATCACCTAAAGAATTTTCTGAAATATTGCAAGGAATTACCCGGATTTGGATGTTGCTCTACTCAACCTTAAGCATTAAGCTCAATCTTAACTGATCCAAACTCACAGTTTCTTCTATCGTTGTAAAATCCATGCATATTGAAAATCTGGAACATCCAATACAATATAATATGGTCACATCTTGTCGCACTGAACTACTAGGAAAAATAAAGAGCAACCCGTGGACGTTAAATTATGATAATAAATCTATAACAAATAAATACCTCAATTTGTGGATTGTTTTTGGACAGACGGAAAGTTAATGTCCAAAAATGCATTCGGTATTTGAGAACCATAATATATTTTATTATTCAATGCAATTGCTTCAATTCTCTTCAGTTCCAAGAATTCCCTAAAACGAAAAGTTGATGTGTCTCAAAAATTTATTCACGGTCACCAAAAACCTATGAAAGAAAGATGAAAAAAATAGTCTCAAAAATAACTACATTCCTTATAAAAGCGTATGCTTCTTATTCTCGAGTTTACGAAGTTTTTGTTGATTTTGAATCCGAACGAAACATTTTAATGAATCTTTTACACATACTTGGTTAATAGCATTTGATTACCCTCTGCCTGTTTCTTCCTTGAATAAAATTCAGCATCTGCACGGGCAGTTGCTCGAGCTATATGACTTTCGTCTGAAATTTGAAATAATTTGAATTCAACTAACATGAAGTAAACTACATCAAAAACGATTCCAATGCTGCGAAAACTTTACCTTCCAGCTGAGAAATCCTTTTCTGCGCTTCTTTTTCAGCTATATGTTGTTCATAATGAATAGCTGCTACTTGGGCGGCTTTTTCGGCTTCTAAATTTTGAACAACCAATTCAAATTTTTAAAAAAATTAACAATATTAATTCAAATATACATAAACTTCCAACGCATATTCAGTTTTCCCTCCTAACTTCCACTTTTCGTAAACAAAGTATCTCTTTTGTTAATAATGCCGTATTCCTTGTTCAGGCTACAAATAAACAATACTTGATTTCACAATAAACAGTGCGGTCAGCCACTCCAAATTGCATTATTGTCTTTGAATTGCAGCCGACGCCATCTAAGAATTTTGAAGTCAAGCATTTGAAAATTGATTCAACTTCAAAAGGGGGTGAAACAAATGAATGTTAAAATGTCACAATACCCCTAATAGTAAAGAACAGAAGTGTTAGACGAATGCGACCAAGTATGGAAAGAAAAAAGAATATTAGTTAAACATACAACAACAAAATTTACCTATAACAGCTTTTTTGCGTTCCGTTTCAGCTTCTTTCTCAACTACCTTTTGATGTTGGATAGCTACAAGAAGTTTGGTTTTTTCAGCTTCCCTAAAACAAGCAATGCTTAAATTTATAAAAAAAAATCAAATAATGGCTTCTCACCACATTCATCTGATAGCATGATAAAATTTAGCAGACGTGCCCATAATATATTAAAAAATGCCAACTATTCCATTTAATCCATTAATATCAACAACTAAAACTTATGATAGTTATTTCGCACTGTACTCGCAAAGTGAAAAAAGGCATACATTTGCTCATAATTCTGTCGTATTGATTCTGGTATTTTAGGTTTTGTTACTCGGACTGCTTGCACGGAAAGACCAGGAGCCATTCTGATTAAATCCTTTTGTAGAGCCGTTTTCAAATTCTCGTCAATTTGGTCTGAGAAAAAATTAGCAGTTCAAATTAAAAAGTATAACACTATACAGATCATCGAGTACAACTTATTACTTACATAGAGAAAAGAAACAAGAAAAAAAGGGAAGGATGTCATGAAAATAATGAACTAGCAATGATATGATATGCACACATATTGGAAAACATACCAAAAAGATCGATGTAAACTTCTTGAAGTGTATGACTACTGCAAAATTGATTCACTTCATGGTGAACTTTGTTGAATATTAATGGCCTGTCGTACTCTACCGTGTAATTTTTCACAATATCGTAAACTGTAATTTCAAAACTAAATAGCAATAGAAAAAAAGTATTCAATGTTTACGCTTAAAAGTGAAGCTAAGAAAAGCTATAATTTAAAATAAAAACGTCAAAGAAACTTGGAAAAAATTCACTGGGAAGGGTAAATCAGGAAAATTTTTTACCGCTCGATGAAGATAAAATGTTCACAACTTCGATTCGTTCAAAATATATCATAACACCACCACTAAAATGAAAATTCAAATGAACTGTCCTTCCGAGCTTAAAAAATTAACAAATTATTTGGTTAATCAACACTTAAAGAGGTAAGAGCATGAAAGAAATTACTATCCATAGGCTTCTTAAAAAAGAAAACAACAATAGCTACCAAATAATAGCTGCCAATCTTACCACTTTAATTTATTCACAATCAAATGTAATGAGTCTTCGGAGTTTACGATTTGCAAAAGTTTATTATAACTATATCGAATAAATAAAAAAAGGAATTCAAGACTTACCTTGTCCCACAAGGTACGTTCTTGGCTTCATCAGTTTGTAAGGTGACCTGAACTGATTTACATGTTGTAAAAAACGGAAACATCAGGTGATATCCTGGTTGACTGACACGACTCAATAGAGCACCACCCTTTAAGAAAAAATACAGAGCATAATTTATATTAAAAGAAATATGAAAAAAGTAATTAATAGTAATATTTCAATATAAATTTGGGAAACAAAAGAAAAGAGGATTTCAATTTAACTTCAAAAATCTGTTAATTATACGGTAAAGATGCGCACTCGATAATAAACTCCAACATGCCCCTCTTCGATATGATGTAAAGAAAATGCCATAAACAACGCTGTGACTGCGCCAATTGTTACTAGAGGCCATCCAGGTAGCATATCTAAACCATGCTGCTTTTCCTTTACATCAGCTTTCTAATTTACGATCCCAACACGTTGATATATTTCCATAATTCACCATTGTACTACTTTGCATGACATTTCAAGACTATCCACCTCCTTCCTCCTCGCTTTTCTTTCCACCTTTCTCTCTCGCACTGCTTATCCATCCAATTTAAATCTGATCAAATTTCGAATATTTAAATCCATTTAAAGTGTAAGCTTTTATAGAATTCAGGAATAACTTCTTTCCAGAATCACTGACTTCAACGTTTATGGATCAAAAATCCATTACTGGAATCGAAATGAGTGATCAGTGATATTCACATTTAATAAACAAATGCATAGAAATAATTTATTGGATTCAATAGAATAATTGTACAACAAATTTGAGAATTACACGAGGTCGTAAATTTGTTATATCTCCTGGTTCACAATCAAATTGCTTCGACATTGGACCACGATGCATTGTTGCGGTTGTCAACAGATCTGCCATTGCAATTTTACTGCTACCTGAAAATTTCAAAATACATTAATGAAAGAGAATATTAGATTTCTCTATTATATCCAAGTTTTACAGTATGAAAGTACTTGAAATTTCATACTATTTGGTCTCTGTCAAGTAAAGGAATTGTTGCCAAGTAAGGTTACAAAAACGGTACACCTCCACTACAATGGATTAATCCAGTGGTTAAAACAGTGGATAAAGTACAGGGAGAGTAAGCAAGATATTTGTCCCTGAAGAAATTATTGCATCTTTAAAAACAAAAACTGATTTAAACGCAAAAACAAGCAGTAGATGAAGTATCTTTCAATTATGATTAAATCATGTCAAACATGCCTGCACAAAGATCTGGAGAAAAGATTCGATTGAGAAAAATTGCTACTTCGAAAAAATCATCATAAGCAGTTTTATAGATTGGCAGTTGTGTCGTACAAAGATGTTCCTTTTTGTTTATATCAACATCAGCATACGTTGATGATTGACCGATTTGAAATTTACACAGTATTGATTGAGTCCCCAATAATCTCAATGTACTGTCCACGTTTAGAATGCAAACCAGTTCCACGAAAAGTCGACCTTGTTCAGACATATCACAAGATATCGACGGTTTCTAAAAAAACATTTGACTACATAGGAAATGTGATAAATCCCAAAAATTTTATAAAGAAATCAATTTTTATCTATTTGAAACTAAACTAATACTGAAGAAAGCAGTGAAAGAAGTTGTAAAGTGCCGGATGTAAAGTTCCGGACTAAAAATTATATATGTATATGATATATATATATATATAATTTTTAGTCCGCAATTGCAGTCATTTTGATAGAAACACGAAAAAAAGAAGGAAAACTTTAAACGAAAAATAAGGAAAAAAATAAAAGAGGAGAAAAAATTCTTCGATTATATGCTTCTACAACGAATTTCGCTAGCTTCTGTTATATAAAACACGACAAACCTTTAATGTTAGGCACTGATTACGGTACTCATTAATGGCTTTTTCAATTTGTGCAATCCAAAATAATCGAGCATTTCGATTTGGTGCACGTAATATTACAGAAAACTCACCTAAAATTCGAGTGAGGGAATATTAATATAACAAGTTAGAAATCATACAATATTGGAGGAACGGCCAGGAAAATGAACAATTTTTATGAACAAACATGGAAATCCAAAAAATTCAAAAATTACCGGAGAGAACTTCAAACGAGCAATCATCCATTTCCTTGCTCTGCTCAACTCTAGCATTTTCCAATAATAAAGGTGTCTTGTAAAGATTTAAATGAAATTCACTTGTTTTGGAGATTCTGAACTCTTCCAGCTACAAAAATTTTACATGAAATTTCCTGATTTATGGCTTGTTATACTCTCATTATTATGATACACGTTTTCTACGCCCATCACAACGTGATTTACAGAGTGTTCACACACATAACATGATTTACAGAATAACGTGATAACGTGATTTACACCACCATAACGTGATTCACAGAATGTTTGATATGTATATAACTCGCACTTTTTCTTACTTGTTATCCAGTATGTTACAATACCGCTAGATATTGTTTATAGTTTCTCCTATGTAACACTCATATCCACACATAGTCTGATATCTTCCCATCCGTTTAATTCCGGGTCACTATTACATTACGGCTACTCACAAAAATAGGAAATGCTAAAACCTGTTCGATTGGTTCCATAGGTGTTGTTAACATCAAAAAATCATTGAATAATAAGGCAACCAATATTTTCCCATTTAACTGTTTTTGCAAAGCACCAGAGTGCAGGAGACATCGTGGTCCAACTTTCCTAGAATTGATAAGAAAGCTTATAAAGTCAAAAGCCGATGCATCTTCCAATCTCGTAATTTTCTAAATCCATCCTATTTTAAATTCAAATTCAAACTACAAAGCACCGTGTAGAAGATAGAAAGACAATAGGTGGTTGTATAGCTTCACAATGGACATGTTGCTGGGCCCAAATGAGCATGCTGGAACTATCCATTGCGCTGACGACATCGTTAATTTCGGTACATAATGACTTCAATAGCTCGCACACTTTTTCAAGATTCTAGATAAAGAAGTTTGCTTTAGAGATAATCGCAAATGTCGTTCATGGATTGAAAAGAAAAAAATAAAAACACTTTAAAAATGGAGAGAAAATGAACAATTTTTACCTTGCGTTTAGCATCATTTGGATCTGTATATTTGACAAGCTTTTCAAAAATTAACGGATAACGAGTAATGCGATTCATCGGCAAGAGCAAAAAGTAACTGAAGTTTATCCCTTTTGTCTTTATACAACATGAACGATACGCCTGAAATGAATGTAATTTCAGAAAATCGAAAATTATATTGTGATATAGTAGCAAACTAAAAGAAATTTTCAAAAAAGAAATTACCTGTCTAAAAGAAACGTTGTTGTGTTCAAGTTCGTTTAGCATTTCCAATGCTGCTTGTTGTTTCGAGCAAAATTCAACATAAGCATGAAGCAAATCAAATTTTTCGACAAATACATCACCTCAAAAAACATTGTTATGATCACATAAAAACTGTTATGATCACAGAAATTTCTCGACAAACTCATAAGTAAAGAATTTGCTACGATTGGCTCGAAAAAAAGACTGATAAAGGCAGACAGAAACGGCTTGCACTCGATTTAGAACAATACTCGACTGAAGAACAATGCTTGCTTAACTGCTAGTTAATGCTAGTTAATAGCTTAATAGCTTAGAAAGAGCCAATAAACATGAAATGACAATCATATCTTCAATTCAAATTTAAACCGGAACTACCCTCAATCTTAATTGATCCTTTCTTTACAAAAAGATTTACTTAAATTGACATTCAATAAACTTCTATCATTATTTAAGAGAGATTTTGAAAAAAAGAAACTGACCAGGTGGCAGCTGTTTAAGTGCATTAGCAATAGAAGTAGAAACAAAAATGAGTTGTTCAAAATTTAAAAATAATTGGCTTGCAAGACTAGTACTGATTATGCCTTGCAATCCTTGAGAGAATATTTCATAGCACTGTGTTAGATCATGGCAATATTTCATTTCCGTGTCCAACAATTCCTAAAAAATTCAGATATTTCTAATGTATTAGAAACTTCTTTTGCAAAATATATAACTGTTTTAACTGACACCGATATATGGTATTGGAAAACTTTCATTAATTCGAAACGTGTTACATCATATGTAAGTCTACTTAAATCTCCACATGATTCTAATTTAACTCCAACTTATAAATAAATGCTAGAACAAAAGATAGATAGCTAGAACAAGGGGTAAATAACCATATATAAATGAAAATCATAGCAAGAAACACACCTTTGCAACTTTTTCACATTTAGAAGCAAGAGTGGAGTATTGATCAGTGGTCGCAACAACTGGATTATGCAATGATGTCACTGGCTTTAAATGCGCTTCGATGCTTGGTTGTATAGTTTTGCTGAATTACTTAATAATAAAACATTTAAAATTTTTACACACCTGACGGTGACATCAGTACCACAGATATGACTGGTCAGTGGAAAGAAGAGATTTCATAATTATTTTCCTTTTAAATTCAACAAACTTTATGAAAGAAACTTCTTCCCACGCGTCTTCCGTTATTCAAAACAACCGTCGAATATATTGAAAAATGTAACTCCCACGTATTCCTATCTGACATCCCCTATCTTGACATTCAACTGTCTTTTTCCACTATTATTCGGTTCATACGATCAATTTTTCGGAATAACATCTTCCTGCTATTCCGAAATAAGAATGATTTAGCTTCCATATGTTAATAAATTATGAATAATCCACTCATTGCTGATGATGCATACAGGGGAAAGTGTAATCGCATCAAAAACATTCAGGTTCCTCTTCTATCCAACAGGATTTGATCAAGTTTTATGTCACGATTCGCGTATAACATGTACATCAATTAAGAAATGGAATACCCGTGAGCTAATAATACCTTCCAACCATAAAACTACAAGCTGCAACACTTGATACTTCCTGCTTGATTGAAATCATTTGATTTGGATTCTATGTTATTTTGCCTTACTCTCTTCGAAATTGAAACATCAAAAGCAACGTTTTGGAGATAAGCAGTAAAACGCTGAACAAAGTTGTGATTTTAAATAAAATGCTCAAACATCAAATTCAGTTTTGACGTTAATCATATTTCAATCTCCAATTTTCATGTTTTAATCTCATTTCATCTGTACTTTTCATGTAAATCTATTCTTCCAGTATTTAACAACTTAGTTGTTAAAAAAGCGAGACAATGAAGAGTCGTTTAAACAGACCACCGTTGCATCATACTTCATGCATTTACGTAAGTTGTATTGCATACATCTTCTGTGGAAAAAGAAATCCAAATGACATAAATCCGCTGACATAAATGGGAATCCAATCTACTCCTCCTCCCGTCAAATGTTCACTTCTTTACAATACATCGGATTTCTTGGATACATCCAGAAAAGATATTACATATAAATGCATCAATGAATCTATGCACATCTAGAAATTCTAGAACATAGTGCTTGTATTCGAACCTCGGAAAATCAATGGGCTTCTATAAAAACCTCCTTCGATCCTTTAAAGCGAAACCCAAAAAATCTTTTCCCGAAACAGTCTTACAGAAATTACGCCAATCCACGAAATTCTAAAACTTGATCTTCAGCTTTTTGTTTGATAGCCATCCAAATCTTTCTACACTATGCTTCGCTCTGGCAACGTGCACACCTTTTTCTTTTGAATGTTGTACAAAATTTTTATTAACATAAAATTTATCTGTATAGCCCACTATCTTTCAAATGACAAATGCAAAATATGTAAATAAAACAGCCTTCACTTTGCGTCATCATCATGTTAATTTCAGGCTTCAAATTTTTTAGAAAAATTTAAGACCACGAAAATACCAGAAGTAAATGACAAAACTAATAAATAAAAACATAAACTGTGCAAGCTTTTCATTCGTGATATCTATCACAGGTTTATATTACACTTCCACGGAGTATTTGATTATTTATCAAGTTCAGATTTATACAACAGTTCGGTAGTATCGAAAGCTTCCTTTCAGTGTACTACACGTACCACGCCCAACGTGCAATTGGGCGATGCACTTAATGATCGCAACAATTTGTGCTATTAATTTTCGATAATTATAAAAAGAAAAAAAAATGAAAATACACGTACATCTGCTACAGATGAATTCTAAAAAAAAATTCAAAAGTTTTGGATTTGTACATTCTAAAATGCCCTACCTCCAAGCCATATAAGAGAACGAAAATGAAAAATGGATAAAACTTAGCTTACCTTTTTGCGATGGAAACCTCCCACCGTTTAAAAATGTTTGGTTCTCGACTTAATGAAAGACGTTTTCCCTAAGCATTAAAAAAAAGAAAAAATTGACTCAGTAGGATTTTGGGACAGCAATGATCGTTATTTGCTCGACTATCCTGGACGAGCAGATCCAGATCTTATTACCAGAACACTCCCTTGAAGTGTAATGTACACCTAAAGAAAGGAAATCCAGAAGAAAGCAGTGCACAACAATGAATAGCTTCAAACAGTGGCATAGAGCATGAAATTACCTAAGAATTTACTCCTAGAATATATGTTCTTAAGCTAACATCAGATGAAATCTGAAAGACTTGTCGATGGCCTGGAAGACATAAAAATCTTTGAAAGTTTGAAAATTCTGAGTTGGGGAAAATCCCTCTAATTTTTTCCATGCTTCAACTCTTAATTTCTTAATTGGTGCAAAATCTGCACAGATATGCCATTGCTTGGTACTACTGTAGGAAGCATAAGTAAATAGAAACCTAAGCTTTTAGTCATAGCAAGCAGAACCTAACTATTGTAAACAACCGTAATTTTCTTTAGATTTAAAAACGTTAAATTAAGAAATACTCAAAGTTCGAGATGCCTTTGATTTTCCTTTTCTCAATTTATTTGCAGCTATGACTTTTTCAATAAATTAAGCGAACTGGCATTTGGAAGCATATATACAGTACTATTGCAATGAATATAACGACTTTGATTACCTGAAACTTGAATCAAGCAGCAGGTAATTAAGTAGTTACTGCGATAATGCGATAAGTAATTAAGGCAGAACAAAAAATGTTCTAACCATAAATGATGCTATGAGAGACCTAGCGATCATATATAT